GCCAGAAAAGCCCCTGGCACTCCCCAGCACAGATGCAGGAAGCAATGAGGACTGTCAGGAGGAGATGTCCCAGGAGAAAGAGAGCCCTGTGTCTCAGGTCTTTGAGCTCGAGATTGAAGCCTTGACTGTGGATACCACCCCTTCCCCTGAAGAGGGGGACATTTCCTCTTCCAGGAAGCAATCAGAGGACCCCCTCACCACCGTGGTGGAGAATGGAGCAGCCGTGGTCACCTCCACTTCCTTCAATGGCGGTGTCTCTCCTCATGCCTGGGGAGATTCTAGTCCCCCCTGCAAGAAATTTCGGAAGGAGAGGCAAACAGGAGCAGGACCTTTAGGAAACAGGTAACGAGGAGGAAGAAGAGGGGATCAAAGGAGGGATTGCAGGGGACTTTCTAAGCGGAGTATTGAGGAACTGAGTCTGCTGGGGAAGACTGACACTGTCCCTCCAGTCCCAGACTGCCTACACTTATGTTTCTGTCCCTAGCTATGTGGAAGGGCAAAAGGAAGTACATGAGAAGACTGAGAAGAAGATATGTACCCTGCCCAGCCCACCTTCCCCTTTGGCTTCCATGGCACCAGTTGCTGATTCCTCAACAAGAGTGGACTCTCCCAGCCATGGCCTGGTGACCAGCTCCCTCTGTAGCCCATCTCCAGCCCAGTTGTCCCTAGCCCCCCAGTTACAACCCTCCCAGCCTAGCACTTACAAGGTAAGAGGGCGAGGCTGTTTTTCCTGACTTCATTCTCTTTCACTGTCTGTTCACTTCCAGGTGCACCATCTGAATATTGCACTCACCACATCCTCTGTCTTCCTTTTTCCTAACCCTATTTTTAATCTTTATAAGTCCTTCCCTGTTTCTCCTCCCCCTGTATTCCAGACCTCTGACTCTTGTGTCTCACTCGATTGCAGATGAGTGTGGCCACACAGTGCGATCCAGAGGAGATCATCGTGCTCTCAGACTCTGATTAGCTGCTTCCCCACCTCGCCCTGACTCCAGAATGTTTGAGGATAGGATTTGGAAGCAGATGACTGAGGAAGGGATGGACTGAGCTAATCCCCTTTTGGTGGTGTTTCTTTTAAAAAAACAAAAACAAAAAAAAATTCTTGTTTTACAATAAACAATAAAGTTCTTTTCTTATTGTAACCCTGTCTTTGTCCTTCTGCTCTCACCAATTGGCACCCGCTGTTCTCTAGCTCAGAGTTTGCCGGCCCAGGCCCTGGCGTAGCCTTGGGTCTGTCCTTGCTAGCCTACCCTTAGCCCCGCTCCGCTGGAGTTTCACCTGGAAAAATGTGTCTTTACTTTCCCTCTTTGAGCGGTAGGAGTAAAAAGGCCAATCAGGGGCCCACTCAAGGTTATATGGCCAATCCAGGCCCAGAGGAAGGGGGCGAGGCTTCAGAGATAATGGGGCGTTTAGGTCCCGAAAACCCGCTAATGGCCACAGCTCCAAGGGAAGAGGCAGGCTTACAGAATTAAAGGAGAAGGAGTGCTTCGGCCAAACAAAGTCCTAAGACCTCTGCGGCTGAAGAGATCTGGTACCTTTAAGACGTGATGAAGTAACTGTGTTTAAAGGAGAAGTGACTGAGTCGGCTAAATATTGCCCAGCGACAAGGGCTGGGTGCCCGCCTGTGCCTTTAAAGCCAGACGGGCAGGAGGCGGAGCAGAGGCGGAGGGCGGAGGGAGTCGGCGCAAGATGGCGGCGGGAGGGGCCCAAGCTGCGGCTCTGGCGGCCGAGTGAGGGGCGGGGGGGCCCCGGGGCGCGCGGCCCGGTAAGCGGAGACGCGCAGGGTTTAGGGGCGCCTTCCGGGTGGGAGCGGAGATCAAAGTAACTCTTGGGGCGGAGCAGAGGGGGGCGGGGCCCGGCGTGGGCGGGGGTAGGCAATGGGCGGGGCCTAAAAGGCCACAGGGGCGGGTCTTGAAGGGGGCGTGGCCGAATTGCTTGGGGGCGGGTCTTGACGGCAGGATGGGGGGGACAAAGGGGCGTGACCCTCGAAAGAGCTTGAGCATTTTCTAAAGGGAACTGCAGAGAGAGAGTGGTTTTCAGTAACGGAGCAGACCTGCCCCCTCCCAAGAAAAGGGTACAGAACATCAAAAAGGTAAATTTTGGAAAGAGGCTCTCTGGCAGATGGGAAGTTCCAAGGGGAGGCACCCCATTCCCATGGAGTACCTATTTCTCTAACCTCAAGGAAAGCACTGAATTGGAGTCAGGACAACTGAGTTTGCTGGCGCTGCCACTTGATGGCTGAGGCCCTGAATAATCTCTTGGTATTTCTTAGCCGCAGTTTCCTCACCTATCAAGTGGGGTTGAGAGGAATACCTTACTTCACAGTGTTGTGTGGAGAGTTACTCAATGATGTGAACATATTTTTAAACTATAAAGGGCTGTTTCATTGTGTTATCATTCTTTTTTCTTTCCAGAGACCCCCCCGGCCGCCCTCCTCCTTCCCTTGTTCCTGTGGCTGGGGGGGTACCACCTCCCTCCACCCTCCACACCATGGAGCCATCTCCTTTGTCTCCAAGTGGGGCAGCACTCCCTCTGCCTCTGTCGCTGGCTCCGCCCCCTCTGCCTCTGCCTGCAGCTGCGGTGGTACACGTGTCCTTCCCAGAGGTGACCAGTGCCCTCCTGGAGTCCCTCAACCAGCAGAGACTTCAGGGCCAGCTCTGCGATGTGTCCATCAGAGTGCAGGGCCGGGAGTTCAGAGCTCATCGTGCTGTCCTGGCTGCCTCCTCCCCTTACTTCCACGACCAGGTCCTGCTCAAGGGCATGACCTCCATCTCACTGCCTAGCGTCATGGACCCAGGCGCCTTCGAGACTGTCCTGGCTTCAGCTTACACTGGTCGCCTCAGCATGGCCGCTGCTGACATTGTCAACTTCCTCACAGTGGGTTCTGTGCTCCAGATGTGGCACATTGTGGATAAATGCACTGAACTCCTTCGCGAAGGCCGGGCCTCTGCCACCACCACCGTCACCACGGCTGCGGCCACCTCCATCACGGTCCCTGGTGCTGGGGTCCCCTCGGGGAGCGGGGCCGCCGTGGCCTCTGCCACCATGGGCTCTGGGCGCTCCCACGCCTCCAGTCGGGCCAGTGAGAATCAGTCTCCCAGCAGCAGCAACTACTTCAGCCCCCGAGAGTCAACTGATTTCTCATCTCCCTCCCAGGAGGTGTTTGCGGCTCCGGCAGTGGGCGGCGGGGAGCGCCGAGGAGGCGGCCCGGTATTCCCAGCCCCTGTGGCTGGCAGTGGGAGCGCTGCCTCCGGGAAGCTGCTGCTGGAGGCGGATGAGCTGTGCGATGATGGAGGAGACGGAAGGGGTTCGATGGTTCCGGGGGCGGGGCTCCGGCGGCCTGCCTGTGTGCCCCCCAGCATCATGCCACAGAAGCACTGGATATATGTGAGGCGGGCTGGACACTGCCCAGCATCAGCGCTGGTTTCCCAAGACCAAGATCTAGAAGAGGAGGAGGAGGAGGAAGACCTGGTTTTGACTTGTGAGGATGATGAAGAGGAGGAGCTAGGGGGAGGGTCCGGGGTCTCAGCTGGGGGAGGACCGGAGGCCACCCTTAGCATAAGTGATGTCCGGACTCTGAGCGAGCCCCCAGGCAAGGGAGAGGAGCAGGTCAATTTCTGTGAATCCTCCAATGACTTTGGCCCCTATGAGGCCGGGGGTCCTGGGGCAGAGCTGGATGACCCAGGGAGGCCCACGCCTTCCTCCTATGCCCCCTCCCTCCCATCACGGCCTCTGCTTCCTGTAGATGTACAGGGCAACCAGATCCTAGTCTTCCCATCGCCTTCCTCCTCCTCACAGGCTCCAGCCCATCCGCCGGGGAACCAAGCCGAGCACGGGGTTGTGACTCTGAGGGGCACATCCGCAGGGAGCCTGGCCGCCCCGGGGGGCGGCGCTGGTGGGACCGCCGGAGGGACAGCCAGCGGGGACGGGAATAAGATCTTCCTGTGCCACTGCGGAAAGGCCTTCTCCCACAAGAGCATGCGAGACCGGCACGTGAACATGCACCTCAACCTGCGGCCCTTTGACTGCCCCGTGTGCAACAAAAAGTTCAAGATGAAGCACCACCTGACCGAGCACATGAAGACACACACAGGCCTCAAGCCCTACGAGTGCAGCGTCTGTGCCAAGAAGTTCATGTGGCGGGACAGCTTCATGCGCCACCGAGGACACTGTGAGCGCCGGCACCGCCTGGGTGCGGGCCCAGCCCCGCCCGCACCCTCAGGGCCAGCCTTGCCGCCCAAGAGAGAGTCCCCTGGGCTGGGCGAAGGCAACCTCACCGAGGGGAGTGGGGCCACGGCCCCGCTGGGCCGCGGGGCCTGGTCCCCGCCGCGCGCCCACAAAGTGGAGATGGCCTTCAGCGGCGGCGGAGGAGCAAACTGAAGGGGCGGGCTGTGGGGTAGTTTTCAGGTCAGAGGACGCGGAGCCCTCCCACGGCTGTCACTGTCTTCCTTTCCTTTCGGACTTGTACATACTCCGCAGGGAACCACGTGGGCCATCACCCCCCATTCCAGTCCTCAGCCCCTCCCCCTCCAAGTAACCCAAGTCCTTCCTTTCCTCAGGGCGCACATGGTGGGGGAGGGAGAGGGTGCCTGTTGAGCATCCTGGAGTCCCAGGGTCAAGGGTCAGGTGGTTGTGTCTGTATCTTAAGTTTGTGTGTGGGGACCAGGCCTTGGAGCCCCATCCTTGTCCTAGCAGCCTCCCCCAAGGATGTGCTCCTTACATCTACCCTACCCCTCCCCTTCCTTGGGGCCCCTCTCTTCTCTTTGGGGAAAGAGGAGACAGGGAGGGAGGAAGTCGTAGGAATACAAGGTTTTTATTTTAAATCTTATTTTTTTTAAAAGGTGATTAAAATATTTATTGGTCGGTTCACTTGGCTTCCCACGACCCCTATGTGTTTGCGGGGACCTGGCAGTAGGGGAGGCACAGCAATGGTGCTGGGGGAGGAGGTGGGAGGAGGAGCCTAGGGTTGGGTTGGGTTGGGTTGGGCTGGGAGGTGCTGTGGCCCGGGGCGCGGGGCGCTGGGCTCGGACCCCCGACCAGAACTGGAGGAGTTCAGGCGCGGCTCCCTCCAGTGAGGGATGCACCTGCCGCCGTGCCACCAGGGCGGGGATTTCCGCCGCCCTCTGGCCGGCAGTTGGAGGAAAGAGAAAGTGAAAGGGGATCCTCAGGCTTGGGGCTGAAGAGATCGCGGCGCCATGAAGCCCCTGTCCCTACTCCTGGCCGTGGCTTTGGGTGAGCGAGCCCCCTCCTCTTTGCCCCGGAACCCAAGGGGGCGGGAGGGAGCCAAGGGGGGTGACCTCGCCCCGCGGCCCTGCAAGTGCACAGAGACCCGGTCCCGCTCCCAGCCGCCCTCAGCGCGCCCCTCTCACAGGCTTGGCGGGCGCCGTCTCGGCGGGGCCGGCCGCCATCGAGTGCTGGTTCGTGGAGGACGCGGGCGGCGGCCGCCTGGCCAAGAGGCCGGCCGCGCTGCTGCTGCGCCAGGGCCCGGGGGCGCCGCCGCCCCGGCCCGACCTGGACCCCAAGCTCTACCTCCGAGTGCACGGTGAGTCCCCGGCTCCCTCCCTCCACGTCTCCCACCGCGGTCTGTGCGTTTGAAGTTCCCTGCCCCCCCCCCCCCTTTCCGAGCCGTGACCGCCTGCGCCTCCCGCAGACCCCGCGGGCGCCCTGCGCGCGGCCTTCCGGCGCTACCCGGCCGGCGCCCCGGCCCCGCACTGCGAGATGAGCCGCTACGTCCCGCTGCCCGCGCCCGGCAAGTGGGTCAGCGGCCTGGCCCCGGGGCACAGCTGCCCGCGGGCCCTGGACGGGCCCTGGTTCATGGTCAGCGTGTCCAGCCCGGTCGTCAGCCTCTCCAGCCTCCTGCGCCCACAGTCCGAGCCCCAGCCGGAGCCCGCAGTCATCACCGAGGCAACAGGTAGCGGGGAGGGTGGGGGCCACTCGGGGGTCTGAGGGCGCAAGCAGCCTGCTGTGAGGACTTGAGCTGGGAGTTGCTTCCTGATTTGCAAAGCGAGTGGGTGGCTGAAAGGAAAGTACCTCTGCCGTGTCCCAGCCCGGCCACTGAACACAACACTCACCACAAACCCCAACCCCCGGGCCTGGGGCGGGGCTGGGGAGGCGGGGTTTCCAGGCCATATAAGGCCACGTGATTTCCGGGCCTCGGAGCAGAACTTTCCTCTCATCCCAGATCCCTGCCTCGCTAGGCACCCCCCCCACCCGTGCCCACATCCGGTGCTCCCCAATCAGCGAAGTGAGGGCTCTCCGCCTTCCGACAGCCCTTCCCCATGGCACCTGGGGGTGCAGGCTCCAGTCACCCTGTGGTGTGCCCGAGGGGTGCCAGGGCAGCGGGGACCAGGCGGTTCCCATTGCAAGCAGTGGGCACCGGGTTGAAGCCCGCGGCCACCACTTCGCTGGGGCTGGAATGAGGGGTCCCGGGGGGTTGTGTGAAGCAAGAAGAGGGCAGGTCTGACCGGATGTGCAGGAGCCGCACACGCTGGCAGCGGAGTGGGAGCATGTGAGTCCCACGCTTCCCTCTGTGTTGTGCGACTTTACGTAAACAACACACCCTGACCAGCAGGCCAGCCCCAACCTAGCCCTGCACTTCCCGCCCCAAAACCCCCTCCCACCACCAGCCGCACTGAGCGGGCATCACCCGCAGGCCAGGGAACGGACCCAGCACAGCCCCATCCGTTCCTGCTCCCCGCACCCCCCTCCGGGCTGGGGCAGGAGCACTCCTGGGTGTGGAGGAGTATCTCCTAGGGCCACTGGTTTCACTGGAGTATCTCCCAGGGCCACTGGTTTCACTGGAGTATCTCCCAGGGCCACTGGTTTCACTGGAGTGGGGCGGGACAGCCCCTTTCAGCCTGGTTTTTCAGCCGTAAAATGTGTCCGCTGTTTCCCATCTGCCTTTCCGTTGTTGTGACTATCAAGGGAGCCCCTTTGCTAATTTATTCACTGATTCTATAAATATTTATTAGCACCAAGAACAAATTTAGGACCCAGTAGTTCCTACAGGCTGCTAATAAGAGTCCTCTTGGGAGTTTCTGAAAAGTCCTGGGACCACCCCCTGGCCTGCGTGGCTCAGTTGGTTGGAGCATCATTGTGCAGTGCACTGGGAGGTGCGGGTTCAATTCCCTGTCAGGGTACATAGCTAGGTTGGGGATTCAATTCCCCGAGCCGGTTTGGGAGAGTATGAGAGGCAACAGGTCAAGATCTCCCCCCACCCCCCTCTCTCTCTCACATCAATTTTTAAAAAGATAAAATATACTGAGTCCCACTCCAGGCAAATTAAATCAGAATCTCTGTACGTAAGGTTACAAAGGTGATATGTAGATTCTGTTCTCAAGAAGATTCTTGGCAAATTTGTCACACACACACGACACCATCAGGGGGAACTAGGGGGAATGTGTGAGGGGGCTGGGTGAGGTGGGGGGCATGGAATCTTACCCACCAGAGCGAAAATCTTTCCAGAGTCACAGATCATTGATAATTTTGCTAATATACTTTAAAATGTTTGTTGACAAGTGTACTTTATTAGCAGTATACGTTGTATGATATTTAAGTTTCATTATTCTTTCAAAATACTGTTATGGAAAATCTCAAAGATACACAACAGGACAGAAAAATGGTATAATGAACCCCTACATACCCATCAGCTTTGTATAGATAATACATTTTATTAAAACCTATCCTGACACCTACTTTTCTCTCTTTTTAAAAAAATTGATTTTGAGAGAGAGAGGAAAGAAGAGGGATAGAGAGAAACATTGATGAAACATCATTGATTGGCTGCTTTCCGCACACCCTACACTGGACATGTGCCCTGATCAGGAATTGAACCCACGACCTCTTGTTTCCTGGGTCAACATTCAACCACTGAGCCCCGCTGGCCAGGCATTCTTCTCTCTTTTGAAGTGTTTTAAAGAAGATCCCTGGCATTATATTATTTTACTCATAAGTAATTCAGAAAGTATCTCTTTCCCCCCATGAATTTTTTCTGTTCCTCTTTGCTCAATCCCTCCACACCTGTCAGAAACCCACTCCCACCCCAGCTGTCAGCCTGCTCTCTCTGAGTCTGTCTCTATTTTGCTTGTTAGTTCATTTTGTTCATTAGAATCCACATGAGTAAGATCACATGTTACTTGTCTTTCTCTAACTGGCTTATTTCACTAGCATGATGCTCTCCAGGTCTACCCATGCTATTGCAAAGGGTAAAATTTCTTTCTTTCTTTCTTTCTTTCTTTCTTTCTTTCTTTCTTTCTTTCTTTCTTTCTTTCTTTCTCTCTCTCTCTCTCTCTCTCTCTCTCTCTCTCTCTCTCTCTCTCTCCCCCCCCCCCCCCCCCTCTCTCTCTTTCTCTCTCTCTCTTTTCTTTCTTTTCTTTCTTTCTTTCCAATTGAGTAGAGAAAGTATCTTTATTAGATAAGGACTTTAAAAAACAAACTGACTGGTGTGGCTCAGTGGTTGAGCATTGAGCTATGAAGTAAGGGGTCACAGTTAAATTCCCAAATCAGGCACTCTATCCCCATTGGGGGGTGGGGCAGCCAATCAGTGATTCTCATCATTGACGTTTCTGTCTCTCCCTCTCCCTTCCTCTCTGAAATAAAACACATATGTATTTAAAAACCACAGAGAACAAACCCCAGCCCAGCCACTGATGTGACTTAGTTGGTTGAGGTGAAGTTGCCAGTTCGATTCCCAGTGGGAGCACATGCCGGAGTTTCAGGCTTGATCTCCCATTGGGGGTGGTGAGGCAACCAATCCGTGTTTCTCATCAGTATTTCTAACTCTCTGCCCTATCCCTTTCTCTCAAGTCAATAAAACCATATTTAAAAAAACACTGAAATACCATTATCATACCTAACAAAACAAACAATAATTCCTTAATAACATTTAGTTCCCAGCCGATATTAAAATTTCCCCAATTGTGTCAATGATATTATTTTAAGGGGATGTTTTTTGCTCAAATCAGAATAAAAAACAGGTCCGTATATTATATTTGGTGGCTGTATCTGCTCTGGCTGCCATAACAAAATATCATAGGCCAGTGGCTGAAAGAAACTACAGGAGTTTATTTTCTCACATTTCTGGAGGCTGGGAGTCCAAGAGCAAGTAGAAGATCAAGGTGCCAGCAAGGCTGGTGTCTGGTGAGAGCTGGCCCCGATGGCGTGTCATCACAGGGCTCACAGGGCGGGAGACATCTCCGGTAGTTCTCTTCTCACGAGGACACCAGCTCTATCAGACTGGACTCTACATTTATGAGCTACTTTAACTTTCTCAGCTCCTCATAGCTCCTGTCTCCAAATATAGTCATATTTCAGGTTAAAACTTCAGTATACAAATTTGGGGAAGAGGGAGACCATAGACATTCAGTTCATACAGTTTTTTTATTTTATTTTATTTTTTTTTATTATTATTTTTTAATATATTTTATTGATTTTTTTTGCCCCCCTTCCTCCCTCCCTCCCATACATCCCCTCCCTCCCCAGAGTTTTGTGTCCATTGGTTGTACTTATATGCATGTATAAAAGTCCTTCGGTTGATCTATTATCTCCCCCAGATCTTCCTCCCCTCCCCGCTGTAATTTGACAGTCTATTTGTTGATATACTGTCTCTATATCTATCTTTTGGTTCATCAGTTTATAATGCTCTTTATTATCCACAAATGAGTGAGGTCATGTGGTGTTTCTCTTTCATTGATTGGCTTATTTCACTCAGCATGATGCTCTCCAATTCCATCCAGGTTGCTGCAAATGATGAGAATTCCTTCTTTTTTATGGCAGCATAGTATTCCATTGTGTAGATGTACCAAAGTTTTTTGATCCAATCATCTGCTGACGGGCACCTAGGCTGTTTCCAAATTCTGGCTATTGTAGATTGTGCTGCTATGAACATAGGGGTGCATATATCCTTTCTGATTGGTGTTTCTAGTTTCTTGGGATATATTCCTAGAAGTGGGATTACTGGGTCAAATGTGAGTTCCATTTTCAGTTTTTTGAGGAAACTCCACACTGTTCTCCACAGTGGTTGCACCAGTCTGCATTCCCACCAGCAGTGCACGAGGGTTCCTTTTTCTCCGCAACCTCGCCAACACTTGTCTGTTGATTTGTTGATGTTGGCCATTCTGACAGGTGTGAGATGGTACCGCATTGTTGTTTTGATTTGCATCTCTCGGATAATTAGTGACTTTGAGCATGTTTTCATGTGCCTTTTGGCCTTCCTTCTGTCTTCTTTTGAAAATGTTCTATTTAGGTCCATTGCCCATTTTTTATTTTTTTTTTATTTTTTTTTTTAATTAATTTATTTATTTATTTTTACATATTTTAATGATTTTTTTTTGCCCCCTCCCTCCCTCCCCCATATCCCCTCCCTCCCCATAGTTTTATGTCCATTGGTTGTACTTATATGCATGTATACAAGTCCTTCGGTTGATCTGTTATCTCCCCCAGATCCTCCTCCCCTCCCCGCTGTAATTTGACAATCTGCTTGTTGCTTTACTGTCTCTATATCTATCTTTTGGTTCATCAGTTTATAATGCTCTTTATTATCCACAAATGAGTGAGGTCATGTGGTGTTTCTCTTTCATTGATTGGCTTATTTCACTCAGCATGATGTTCTCCAATTCCATCCAGGTTGCTGCAAATGATGAGAATTCCTTCTTTTTTATGGCAGCATAGTATTCCATTGTGTAGATGTACCAAAGTTTTTTGATCCAATCATCTGCTGACGGGCACCTAGGCTGTTTCCAAATTCTGGCTATTGTAGATTGTGCTGCTATGAACATAGGGGTGCATATATCCTTTCTGATTGGTGTTTCTAGTTTCTTGGGATATATTCCTAGAAGTGGGATTACTGGGTCAAATGTGAGTTCCATTTTCAGTTTTTTGAGGAAACTCCACACTGTTCTCCACAGTGGTTGCACCAGTCTGCATTCCCACCAGCAGTGCACGAGGGTTCCTTTTTCTCCGCAACCTCGCCAACACTTGTCTGTTGATTTGTTGATGTTGGCCATTCTGACAGGTGTGAGATGGTACCGCATTGTTGTTTTGATTTGCATCTCTCGGATAATTAGTGACTTTGAGCATGTTTTCATGTGCCTTTTGGCCTTCCTTCTGTCTTCTTTTGAAAATGTTCTATTTAGGTCCATTGCCCATTTTTTAATTGGATTATTTATCTTCCTTTTATTTAGTTGTATAAGCTGTTTGTAGATGTTGGAGATTAAACCTTTATCAGTAGTATCATTTGCAAATATGTTCTCCCACACTGTGGGCTTTCTTGTTTTGTTGATGGTTTCTTTTGCTGTAAAAAAGCTTTTTATTTTGATGTAGTCCCATTTGTTTATTTTCTCTTTAGCTTCCATTGCCCTAGGGGTAGTATCAGTGAAGAAGTTCTTTTGGCATACGTCTGAGATTTTGCTGCCTGTGGATGCTTCTAGTATTTTTATGGTTTCCCGTCTGATGTTTAAGTCCTGTATCCATTTTGAGTTTATTTTTGTGAATGGTGTAAGTTGGTGATCTAGTTTCATTCTTTTGCATGTGTCTGTCCAATTTTCCCAACACCATTTATTGAAGAAACTGTCTTGACTCCATTGTATATTCGTGCCTCCTTTGTCAAATATTTGTTGAGCATAGTGATTTGGGTTGATATCTGGGTTCTTGATTCGATTCCATTGATCTATATGTCTGTTGTTGTGCCAGTACCAGGCTGTTTTGAGAACAGTGGTTTTGTAATACAGTTTGAAGTCTGGTATTGAGATCCCTCCTACTTTACTCTTCTTTCTCAGGATTGCTGTGGCTATTCGGGGTCTTTTATTGTTCCAAATGAACTTTTGGAGAGTTCTTTCTAGGTCGGTGAAATATGTCGTTGGTATTTTAATGGGGAGTGCATTGAACCTATAGATTGCTTTAGGAAGTATGGACATTTTGATGATGTTGATCCTACCAATCCATGAACATGGTATGTTCTTCCATCTCCTTACATCTTCCTCTATCTCTTTTTTCAGTGTCGTGTAGTTTTCCGCATATAGGTCCTTTACTTCCTTAGTTAAATTTATTCCTAGGTATCTTAATTTTTTTGGTGCGATGGTAAATGGAATTGCTTTTTTAGTCTCTGTTTCTGCAGTTTCTCTGTTGGTGTATAGAAAAGCCATGGATTTCTTGGCATTAATTTTGTATCCTGCTACATTGCCAAATTCATTTATTAAGTCAATTAGTTTTTTAATGGAGTCTTTTGGTTTTTTTTATGTACAATATCATGTCATCTGCAATTAAGGATAACTTTACTTCTTCTTTTCCAATTTGGATGCCTTTTATTTCCTCCTCTTGTCTAATTGCAATGGCTAGTACTTCCAGTTCAGTTCATACAGTTTTGTCTCTCTTTTTAAAAAATCCTCACTGGGCCAAAACCGGTTTGGCTAAGTGGATAGAGCGTTGGTCTGTGGACTGAAGGGTCCCGAGTTCGATTCCAGTCAAGGGCCTGTACCTTGGTTGCCGGCGAATTCCCAGTGGGGGATGTGCAAGAGGCAGCTGGTTGATGTTTCTCTCTCATTGACGCTTCTGGCTCTCTATCCCTCTCCCTTCCTCTCTGTGGAAAATCAATAAGATATATATATATATATATTTTTAAAAAATCCTCACTGGAGGATATATTTTTCATTGATTCTAGAAAAAGGAAGGGGGAGAGAGAGAAATATCGATCAGTTGCTTCATGTACATGCCAATGGGGGATTAAACCCACAACCTGGGTATATGCCTTCACTGGGGATCAAACACGCCACCTTTTGGTGTACCAGACGATGTTCTAACCAACTGAGTGACACTAGCTGTGGGATCCCTTAACACGACCCGCGTGGTTCAGGGCCCACTCAGGGTCCGGTTTCTGGAGAAGGCCGCACACTAAAATGAAGAGAGAGACTGGAAAAGAGTTAATTTGGGAAAATGGGGGCCAGGCTGGAAGTCTACCTCTAGTGGGAAGACTAACCGCTCTCTGGCCTTTTACCATTCCTTTTACTGAGATTCTGAAACAAAGACATCTCTTAAGGGGGAAGTTCCAACAACAGAAAATCAACTTACATTTACATATGATTAACAAATTAAAGTTGCCTCAAGCACCACTATCTCAACTAGACAATGAGTTAATGGCTCTGACCCTTCAGAGCCATCAAGGTCGGCTAGCTCTTTTTACATTTTATCTCCAGTGACATGCTAGGTTTTGGTTCCCTGCTCCCAGTTCGGGCAACTAGCCAGGGCTATAGTTTTGTCTGTTAAATCTCTTAAATTTGCCCCATCCCCTCACCCCCATCCATTCCCCCTAACCCCTGCCCCAGTTTTAAATGCTATTGATTTGTCCTTTGTTCTGTAGAATTTCCGACATTCTATATTTGGCCAGTTGTTTACTCATTGGCTCATTTCCCTTGTTCCTTTTTCTTCATATTTAAATTGTAGTTAGATTTAGAGGCTTAATTAGATTTGTGTTTAAGTTTTTTTCAGTAATCTATTCTCTATATAAAAGCCTAAGCAACCCTAACAACTGTTTGACCAGTCACTATGATGTGCACTGACCACCAGGGGGCAGACGCTCAATGCAGGAACTGTCCCCTGGTGGTCAGTGTGCTCCCACAGTGGGAGCACTGCTCAGCCGACTGATGGGCACCAGACACTGGGCTCACGGCTGGCCAGCACAGCTACTGTAGCATGAGCCTCAACCACATCAACACGCTACAGAGTGCAGCGGCAGGCGCAGCGGGGCCAGGGTGAGCGGGAGCAGTGTGGCACCCAGCTTGGGTTTTTCCCCAGCACTACTACATCCCTCAGGGGATGCGCACTGCCAGCTATGGCCCAACCTCCAAGGATCAGGCCGAAACCCAAGGGTCTCAGATTGTGAGAGGGCACAGGCCAGGCAGAGGGACCGCCCCCAGGCCTCTAGTTCTTTATAACATTTGTTAACATTTACTTTCTATAAAACAGAAAAGCAAGAAAAAGATGAAAGAAAAAAAATACAGAAAAGCAAAAACCTATACAAGCTGCAAAAATAGAAATTTTCTTACTGTCTGGCCCTGCTCTATTTATACTTGGATTGTTACAGAGACTAGTTTGTGTGCTGCGGGCTAATGTTGCTTAAACTAGAGGCCCGGAGCATGATATTCATGCTCTGTGGGAGGGTGTCCCTCAGCCTGGCCCATGCCCTCTCACAGTTCGGAACCCCTCGGAGGATGTCCGCCTAAGCCGGCAGTCAGACATCCCTCTTGCAGTCGGGGGCTTTTGCAGTCCAGGACCCTTGGCTCCTTACCGCCCACCTGCAGTGGAGGTGGGAGAGGCTCCCACCACCGCTGCAGCGCTCACCAGCCATGAGCCTGGCTTCTGGCTGAGTGACGCTCCTCGGTACTGACCACCAGGGCAGCTCCTGTGTTGAGCGTCTGCCCCCTGGTGGTCAGTGTGCATCATAGCGACCTGTCATTCTGGCTTTTATTATATAGGATAATCCTTACTAAAGAGGACTGTTAGCCGAAGCCAGTTTGGCTCAGTGGTAGAGCATCGGTCTGCAGACTGAAAGGCACATCCCCGGTAGGGGGTGTGCAGGAGGCAGTTGGTCGATGTTTCTCATCGACGTTTCTAGCTCTCTATCTCTCTCCCTTCCTCTCTGTAAAAAATCAATAAAATATATATATATATATATATATATATATATATATATATATATATATATTTTTTTTTTTAAGAGCACTGTTAGATTAAGGGTTAAACTGTAAAACCTTTAGGTTTTGTTATTTCATTTTTATTGATTTTAGAGAGAAAGAGGACGGGAAGGAGAGAGAGAGGGAGAGAGAGAGAGAAACATTGATTAGTTGTTCCACTTATTCATGTGTACTCATTGGTTGACTCTTGTATGTGTCCCGACTGAGGATCGAACCTGCAACCTTAGCGTATGGGGATTACACTCTAGCCAGGTCAGGACAGGTTTTGTCATTAATCCTGTAGGTGGTTTTTAGCAGTTCAAAAGTATGCTTCTGGACTTCAATAAACTGAGTAATATGGTCTACTCTTTGTATTCTGTTGAACAAAAACAACCCCATAAGGTCAGGAGAAGTTTAACCTTGTAGACCTCAGAACTGGAATTGAAAATCACATACAGACAATCACAAGAGAAAAAAATTCTACTTCTACCTGGAGGAGCCAGACGTTTCTGGGAGGAAGTAGCAGTGAAACTGGCCCGAGGGACATGGAGTTATTTAGATGTTTGGGAGGAAAAGGGGAAGGATCCTTATGACCAAAGCAAAAAAATCCCCAATGATTAAGATTTTCTATTTAGAGTTTCTAGAAGGATTCTGTGTGGTTGGTTCTTGGGGTGCAAGAGAAGCCTGGGAAGGTGGCTTGGGGTTGAATTATCATACTCCGAAAGCTGGGCCTCATAGAAATAGTGAACCGTTAGCCACACACGTCGCTTCAGAGTGGGCTTACCGGGCAGGCAGGCTCCGGTACCTAACCAGACAGCTGCTCCAGTAGAGCACAGAGGTCTGCCATCGCATCGAGTCATGAGCCATCACTGTCTTCATCAAGAACGGCCTGGGGGTCCTCGGAGGCTGGACTGGCCCAGGCTGTCAGATGTGCACTCAGGTCCCTCTGTTCCCCCCACAAGCCACTCGTGGGCTGTGCTCAGAGCGGCTGCACGGGCTGTCCTTACGCCTCGCCCTGCTCCTCTCTAGGCCTCTCCTCTCCCTCAGCCACACTGGTCCCACCCGGTCCCAGAGCAAAGGCGACGCCGGGAGGGCTGGGAGGTGGCGTGTCTCAGAAAAGGAGGTGTCTTCAGAGGGACGGGTAAATTGGAGTTGAGTCGTCCCTCCAACTTCATTTTGTTTTTTTCCTCCTTTCCCTCATGCCTCTGCATCTGCCTGCTCTCCCATCTTCCCAGCCGTGCTGACTGTCGTCACCCACACCCCTACCACTCGAACCCGCCTGGGACAGGACGCTCTGCTGGACTTGAGCTTTGCCTACACACCCCCTACCCCAGAGGCCGCTGCTTCTCTGGCCCCAGGTCCCCCTCCCTTTGGGCTGGAGTGGCGACACCAGCACCAGGGTAAGGGGCACCTGCTCCTGGCTGCAACTCCTGGGCTAGAGGGGCAAATGCCAGCTGCCCGGGATGGGGCAGTGGCGTTTGCCGCTTGGGATGATAGTGAGCCCTGGGGGCCGTGGACTGGCAATGGCACGCTCAGGCTGCCCAGAGTGCAGCCCCGCCAGGAGGGCGCCTACCTGGCCACCGTGCACCTCTCATACCTGCAAGGGCAGGTCGCTCTGGAGCTGGCTGTGCAGAGTGAGTGGGGTCCCCAGGGGGAGAGGGTGGGCACTGGGATTGGGGGACACCATGACAGGGGAAGGAACAGTGAGAAGAGGATGCAGGGTGAGTGGGGGGAAATATAATGAGGCCACTGGGAGTCGGAAAGGCAATGGATGGAGGGTCCCTGGAAATGAGGGGACTTGGGGTAAAGTTCCAAAATCTGAGGGAATAGGGATCCCTTAGAATCGGGGCTTTGACATGAGAAGTAGGTGACACACCGAAGGGGAAAGAGGGGGATCACCATCCTGGGAGAAACGCCCGCCCCTTAGCTTTAGGGGAGCCAGAGAGCAAACAGGGCTCTGAGGGAGGCAGTGTGGATTCACTCCCTGCTCTCTTCCCACTCTTGTCCCAGAGCCCCCCAAAGTGTCCCTGACGCCAGCACCTCTGGTATGGGCTGCCCCTGGGGAGGCTCCCCCAGAATTGCTCTGCCTTGTGTCCAACTTCTACCCCGCGGAGGGCCTGAAGGTGGAGTGGGAACTCCGGGGCCCGGACGGCAGCATTCGGGAGGCCGAGGGGCACCGGTGGCTCTCGGCCCTGCACCACCACTCGGACGGCTCCATCAGCCTCTCGGGGCACCTGCAGCCGGCCCCGGTCACCTCCGCTCAGCACGGGGCCCGCTATGCCTGCCGCGTCCACCACCCCAGCCTGCCCGCCCTGGGGCGCAGCGCTGAAGTCACTTTGGAGGTGGCAGGTGAGAGCCAAGGGGGTTGAGAGGGGTGGGGTGCTGGGAAGATGCTTGGAGCTCACTCTCTCCCTCCTGCCAGGTCGCTCTGGACCCTCCCTGGAGGATGGCATCGGCCTCTTCCTGTCCGCCTTTCTGGTCCTAGGGCTCCTCAAGGTGCTGTGCTGGGCAGGTGAGTGAGCAGCCGGAAGTCATTCCCTGCCTGTTCCAGAGCCGCACCCCCACCCTCACATCCACCCCTTCTCCATCTCTCCACAGCTGTCTACCTGTCCGCTTCCAAGAAGTCAGAGAAGGAGGTAAAAGCGCTCCACCTTCGCCCAATTCTTCCCTTCTCATCCATTCCCGTCCCCCAACTCCTCACCCACGGAGGGAGGCTGCGGGTGTGGTGGCAGAACTCGGCCTCGGAAGTCACACAGACCTGGGTTAAAGCCTGCCGTCTTGAACAGACTACTTAACCAGCGTCTCAGTTATCTGTTTCCTTGGGTGTAGGGATAAAAATAATAATTTAGGCAATGCTGTCCAATAGAAATATAATGCAAGCCACATATATAAATTTTAATAATCTAGAAGTCATATTAAAAGGTGTTGACATGCCCCAGCCTATTTGGCTCAGTGGATAGAGCATCGGCCTGTGAACTGAAAGGTCCCAGGTTTAATTCCGGTCAGGGCACATGCCCGGGTTGTGGGTTCCAGTCCCAGTGGGGGACTTGCAGGAGGCAGCTGATCCATGATTCTCTATCATCATGGATGTTTCTATCTCTGTCTCCCTCTTCCTTCTTCTCTGAAATCAGTAAATATATATATATATATTTTAAATAAAAATAAATGTATATTTCTTAAAAATAAAAGGTGTTGACATTTAAAAAATGTTCAAACCTGTAGAGAATTTTTTTAATCTTTAAACTAATTTTTTAAAAATTTGGATGTAGAGATGAAGGGAGAAATATTAATTTGTTGTTCCATTCATTTAAGCATTCATTGGTTGATTCTTGTGTCTTGACCAGAAATTGAACCAGCACCTTTAGTATATCAGGATGATGCTCTAACCAACTGAGCTACCCAGCCAGGGCTGTAGAGTTAATTTGAACCAAACTGCCAATTGTCCAGAAGCAAGCTCTCCATCGCTCCTCAAAACGAGCGTGCAGCTTCTTTTATGCATTTGGAATTAAGGGGGAACATAGGAAGATCGCACGAAGGTGGGACCGGATTAGGATGGTGAACGGAGCTTATGTGCTTCCTTGAGGGCAGTTACTATTTCAAAGGTGTGTTGACCTAGATGCACAGAAGCAACGGGCAGGGCTGGCTTACAATGATCAGCCATTTTCTGAAGAAGTTACAGGCCTGGGGTGTGCCTACCCACCCTGACCTGCCCAGTTAGGAATTCATGATCAGGTCACCCTGGGAGGCTACTTTCCATATTGTTCATCCAGAAAGATAAAAAGAAACAGGTGAAGCTGATAATACAGTTTATTCCATCTGGTATATCCAAACTATTATTATTACAACATGTAATTAGGGTAAGAAAGTCTAGTTTTCTACTGTCCTAAGTCTTCAAAAACAGGTGTTTAAACGGCCAGCAAATCTCACTGCAGACGCACCATGTTTCAAATGCCAAGTTTCAAATGCTCCGACAGGTGGCTGTGGCTCCTGCCCTGGGCTTCGGAGCCTTCAGGGGCTGCAGGGGGGGGGTCAGAGGAGCCTTCAGGGGCTGCAGGGGGGGTCAGAGGAGCCGCATCTCCCGGGAGACAGGAGCGAAAGCACTGTGCACGGGGTCTACCAGGCAGGAAACGGAATGCTAGCTCCATTTTCCCACGCTCTGCCATGATGGTTTCTGTCTCTGGGTGAGTCATGGATTTCTAAAACCCCGAATTCCTCACCTCATTTTTACTTCTTTTCCAGAAATCACAGTGAGGGCACTCACCGCCACCGGGGGGAAGCCACCATCACCTGTCACCTGCTCCTGCTTTCTGTCTCTCCGCTGAGTGGCTGGAAGGGTTTCTTTTTTTTGTTTTTGTCCCCCCCCCCCCCCCGCCCACACACACACACACACACAGACTCAGATCCATGCATTCACCTTCTTAGAGCTCTAGGGCAGCGGTTTCTCACAATTTTTAGTCTCGGGTCTTCTTAAAAATTACTAAGGACTCTAAAGAGCTTTTCTTATGTGCACACATTTATCATAATAGAACATAACACTGAGGCAAGTTTAGCCCGGCTGGTATGGCTCAGTGGTTGAGCTTCAACCTATGAACCTAGAAGTCATGGTTCCATTCCTGGTCAGAGCAAATGCCCGGGTTGTGGGCTCAATCCCCAGTGTGGGGCGTACAGGAGGCAGCTGATCAATAATTCTCTCATCAATGATGTTTGTCTCTATCCTCCCTCTCTGAAATCAATAAAAATATTTTTTTTTAAAAACTGAGGAAAGTTTAAAACAGAATACACTGCTTGCTCTGGCAGCACATATAGCAAAATTGGAACAATACAGAGATTAGCATGGCCCTGAGCAAGGATGACACGCAAATTTGTGAAGTGTTCCATATTTTAAAAAACACACCAAAAAAAAAATCTGAATACACTAGCACATACCATTAGGTTTGAAGGCGATGTAAATACACATCATGTACAGTAGTTCTTGAAAAACTCTACAGTACTTTCTATTAATCTTCACCAGAGAATATTTTTTCCCACTGATTTTTAAGTAGAAGGGAGGGGTAGAGACAGAAACTTCATTGGTTGCCTCCTGAACACACCCCCACCTCCACCGACCTGGGCCCTATGGACCCTCCAAAGAGGTACTGGGCCCTTCAGCAGTCCTTGCGACAGTGCTCTAACCACTGAGCAACCAGCTGGGCTCCAGAGTACAATTTAGAGAAAGAGTAGAAAAGGCAAACAGGACCTTAGTATTATTGTGGAAGCAGCTTTAACTTCGGGTACCCTGTGCGCAGTCTCAGGGCCTCTGGGACAGGGCCACCCTTGGAGGACCTGAGCTACTGGAGGACGGGTCCTTCCTTCTCCCGCCCCCCCCCCCCCAACTCAGTCCCAGAGCTCCGCTCCGCTCCCCTGCACGATCCATCCCCGCTTTCCCTGCGAACCAGCCCAGTCCACCTGGTCCTCCCCGAAACCCCTCCCCCAAGTGCCAGTCCCCGCCCGGCCCCCGCTCCTGCCCGCTGTTCCCCGCTGGCCCTGCGCCCTGCTCTTGGCCCCGAGTTTCCTCTCCGTCCCGAGTACGGGAGGGCTGCTGGGCCACCCGCCCTGCAGGGAGGCGGCTGGGCTGGGGGGGCGGGGGTCTGATCGGGTGGAATAAAGTTGTTCCTCCCAGTCACCTGTGGTCCCTCCCAACGACTCCGACCTCCCACGACGCCCAGCCCGGGGGTCGGGCGCCCCGCGCGGCAGCTCCCCGGGCCCAGGCGGGGTCCCCGCTGCCGCCCGCAGCCGGAAGCGCCCGGCGCCCTGGAAGCGGAGGGACGGCTTCCGGCGGGAGGCGGGCTCGAGGGCTCCCGGGAAACCCCGGAGCGGACTGCGGCCGCGGCCCGCGGGGTGGGGAGGGGAGTGCAGCCGGGGGGCGGGGCGGGGCGGGGGGAGTAACGGTCCCGCCGCCGGAGACGCACCCGCGGGGACCAGTCTCCTGGGGCAGGGAAGCGTCCGGTCCTGCCCCGGGTCCGGGAACCGCCCCGTTCAGTGAGGGCCGCCGGGGCCGGGGCCGGGGCTCGGAGGGGCGCGGAGCTGGGGCGGCTCCGGTCCCCGCGCCCGGCGCGCGCCCAGCCCGGCCCTGGCTCCGGCGCTCACTTCCTTCCCGTTTTGGCTGCGGCGCTCGGAGCGGGCGGACGTGGGGGGAGCGGAAAGGGCGGGAGGCCGGGCCGGGGGGAGACGGGGTGCGGAAAAGCCGGGAGGGGACTCGGCCGGGGACCGGAGACCGACGGCAACAGCGGCCCGGGACCGTCCCGAGCAGGTCAGCCTGAGCCCGGTGACCCTCCAGTCCCGCACTCGTGCACCCCCCTCCCCCCGGCGCCGGGCCTACGCCCCCTCCCCCGCTCCCACAGGACTTCCGCCCGCTCCCGGCGCCCCCTCACCGCCCCGCTCCTGTCTCCCCAGGCGCCCCCATGGCCCGGCCCTGCTGACGCCCCGCCATGCTCCCGCGGCCCCTGCGGCTGCTCTGGGACCCGAGCCCCCCCGGGGGAGTGGTGCTGAGCAGCTTCCGGAGTCGAGACCCCGAAGAGGGTGGGGGCCCCGGCGGCCGGGGCGCGGGCGAGGGGCAGGAGGAAGAGGAGGAGGAGGAAGACGAGGTGAGCGCGGGAGGCGGAGGTCGGGGTGTTGCGGAGGCTCCCCTTCCTCTCGCCGTCCTGTCCCGGTGTTTCCTCCGCTGCCCGGTGGTTTCCGCTCCAGCGGCCGCGCGCCCGCCGCGGGGGGCCCGGCGTCCCCGCCCTCCGGGGCGCCCGGCGGCTGCCCCGCGGCGGCCCTCCGCCCGGCCGGAGCGTGCCGGCCTCCGGCACGGGGTTTGGGTCCCGTCTCCTCGCCGGCCTCGCATTTGTTTGGCGGGGAGGGGTTAGTTTCCACGGTAACCGCTCCGCGGGCTCCGGGATTGGGGAGGGAGCCCTTCGGCTGCGTGACCCCTCCCCCTCCCGCCCGGCGCCGGTGGAGGCGGGAAACCCGGGGTTTGGATCTGGGAGGGACGGTCCGGGCTGAGCGGGGAGCGCCTGCCCTCCCCCGGGGCCGAGTGGTGCCGGGAGCGGGGTGGGGGCCTCCCGAGGGCCAGGCGTCGGATGGGGCCCGGAGGCCCCGGACTGCAGGGTCCAGGGCTGGGCGAGGGCAGTGACTGGCAGGGCTGGTTTTTCGGGATCGGCTGGGGGAGGGGCCGTAGCCACGTGACTCCAGAGTATACCGTCCCCCGCCCCCATCATCCCCACTTCCCCTTCCCCTTCCTGCGCTGGGATGAGAGCCGCCACCCGGAGGGGGTCTCTCAGGACCGGAGGAAAGGGGCCCGAGGGCAAAGGCTAACGCAGGGCTTGGCCAGCGCCTTAGGGGAGGGCGGGGCGTGAGGTTTCAGCTTCTCAAGGTCTCTGCTTCTGGCTTTCTGTCTCAGTTCCCCTCCTACGCTTTGCACCCTGCTTCTCTGCTGGGTTGGTGTTCAGCTCTGGGGGCTAGGGGCTCGGGTGGCCTCCAGGATCAGGGTTCCTGCATTCCACCCGCTCCCCCACCGCAAACCCCTCGACTCCACCGGGCCCTGAGGCGGTTTGGGTGGGGCTGTCTGGGCCCTAGTGGGAGAGACCTGGGGTCACCAGCACCCCCAACCCCTCGCACTCGATGGTACTATCCCCCGCCCTCACAGGTGAGGGGTAAGGGGGAGGAGCGGGGCCTGGGTAAGGGCTGGGGCCGTGGGCGATGAGAGCCTGACTCCCTTCCTTACTCCTGCAGGCCCCTGTGTCTGTCCGGGATGAGGAGGAGGATGGTGCCACCTTTACTGTCACAAGCCGCCAGTATCGGTCTCTTGATCCCTTGGTGAGATAACTGGCTTCTCACCTCTGACCCATTACCCCCGGAAGGGCCAGAGTGCTAGGTTCATCTGGACCTGGACTCTGCTGTGTGACGCTGGTCAATCCTTTGCCCTCTCTGGATCTGAGCCTGGGTCATCGGCTAGGTCTGGGCTTTTCCCAAAACCTGGGGCAGTGACACCCCTCTGTCTCCCCAGGCCCCCACACCTCCCCCGCGGTCCTCCCGAAGGCTCCGAGCTGGCACCCTGGAGGCTCTGGTCAGACACCTGCTGGATGTCCGGACGGCAGGGGCCGATGTGACCTTCACAGCAACCTTCCTGGCCACCCACCGAGCCTTCACCTCCACGCCTGCTCTGCTCGGGCTTATGGCTGACAGGTCAGGGTGGTAAGGGACCAGGGTCATAGAGATTCTGGACTTCCTAAAGCCAGAGTAGCCACCAGAGTGGTCAAAGCCCCCGGGGCTGGAAAAACAGACGGGATCTTCCTTTGCCCAGGCTGGAGGCCCTTGAGTCCCATCCTGATGAACTAGAGAGGACAAAAGGGTGAGTGACCCCCCCCCCCCCCGTTCTCAGCCTCCAAGTCCCCTCTGCCCGAGCTGCAGCTTGACATCTGACCCCTGGCTGATCCCCCTTCTCCCAGGGTAGCCATCTCTGTGCTGTCAACCTGGCTGGCCTCTCACCCTGAGGATTTTGGCTCTGAGGTCAAGGGTCAGCTTGACCGGCTTGAGAGCTTCTTGCTTCGGACAGGGTATGCAGCAGGGGAGGGTGTTGGGGGGGACAGCGCTGACCTCATCCGAAACCTCAGGTCCCGGGTGGACCCCCAGGCCCCCGACCTTCCTAAGCCCCTGGCCCTCCCCGGCGATCCCCCTGCTGACCCCACGGATGTCCTGGTGTTCCTCGCTGACCACTTGGCCGAGCAGCTGACCCTGCTAGATGCGGTGAGACCCTGACCTGTGACCCCCGTGCCCGTGCCCCCTCACTAACCTTGCCCTGACTCCAGATCCTTTCCTCGTCCCAGCCCTTCCCGGCCTCCTCTCCCACCCCGTGCTGACCTTCCCCGTTATTCCTGGTCGTCACCCTTCAAATCCTGTGCCCCTTTGGGTCCCTTGGCACCTGAGATCCTCACACCCTAATATTGGAAGGCTGGTTCTCTTGACTGTGAACTTTAACCTCTGACCTCCTCCCCACAGGAGCTGTTTCTCAATCTGGTTCCCTCTCAGTGCCTGGGGGGCCTGTGGGGTCACAGAGACCGGCCGGGACATTCTCACCTCTGCCCATCTGTGCGAGCTACTGTCACCCAGTTCAACAAGGTGGCAGGGGCCGTGGTCAGCTCTGTCCTGGGGGCCATCTCAACCGGGGAGGAGCCTGGGGAGGTGACCATACGGCCACTCCGGCCGCCCCAGAGGGCCCGGCTTCTGGAGAAGTGGATCCGAGTGGCCGAGGTAAGGGAGAAGGTCGGGGCCGTTGGGGACCGCGGTGTGGAGAGAGATCCCACAGCATGGCCGCCCTCTGTGACCCACAGGAGTGTCGTGTACTCAGAAACTTCTCTTCAGTTTACGCCGTGGTGTCGGCCCTGCAGTCCAGCCCCATCCACAGGCTTCGGGCAGCCTGGGGGGAAGCAGCCAGGTGGGGAGGATGGGGCGCTGGGCTGGGCTGAGGGCTGGGAGGGGGTGCTGAGCCGCTGGTCCTCAGCCTGCTGCCCTCCTCCAGGGACAGCCTCCGGGTTTTCTCCAGCCTCTGCCAGATTTTCTCCGAGGAGGATAACTACTCCCAGAGCCGGGAGCTACTCCTGCAGGTGAGCCCCGTTCCCCGGCCTCCAGCGCCCCCCCCCCCCCCCCCCGCGCCACCCTCCCCTCATTTCTCCTCCTTCTATCCCCCAGGAGGCGAAAGCACAGCCCCATCTGGAGCCCAATTCCAAGAAGGCCCCCAAGACTGGCTCCCGGGGTGGGGTGAGTGCCGGGGGTGGGGGATGGGGGGTGGAGGGTGTGAGGAGTAAGGAGAGTGTGTTGGGGGTGCAGTCAGAGGGGGGGAGGGGGGAGGAAGGCACAGTGGGGTGAGGACTATTCCCTTTGTCTGACCTCTCCTCAGGGTGTGGTCCCATACCTTGGCACCTTCTTGAAGGACCTGGTGATGCTGGATGCGGCCTCCAAGGATGAGCTTGCGGTCAGTGTGTGCTCAGTGGAAGGCTAGAACCAGGGGTTCAGGGCCAGACACCTCCCTGCAAGAAGGTGCCATGCAGAGTGCTGAGGCCGCACAGGGCTCCGGCCGAGCCCAGGGTTCTGGTCCTGCCGCTTTGGCGAGCTGCGTAGCCTTGTGCCCGAGTGACCTGCGAACGGGAAGCTAGTGACAGTGTCTACCTCTGTTAGGAAGGTGAAATGCATTCCTCCTGGCAGTGCTTAGAACATGCCCGAACTTAAGCATACACAGACTTGGTTAAGTGATTGAATGCTGGAACTTCGGGCAAGTTCCTAATCCTCTCTGAGCCCTGATTTTCTCTTGGGTGACGTGGGCAGTTTCTAACCTGACATACTCAATGTAGAAGGTAAGGAAGGGTGCTTAGGGGATGACAGATGGGGGGGTGTCAGAGAGGTGCCTGTATTTGGAGGGGCGTAGTCTCTCTGACAGGGTTGGCCTCTCACCCCACCCCTTTATTCTTGCAGAATGGATACATCAATTTTGACAAGCGGAGGAAGGTGAGGGGGTGCTTGGGCTGGGTGCTAGAGAGCCTGAGCACGTCCCAGGAAGGGGAGAAGGAAGGAGGGGAAAGTCGGGATCCCTGAGTTTTGGCTCCTACAGCCTGAGGGTCCCTTCCTAGGAGTTTGCTGTCCTTTCTGAGCTGAGGCGGCTCCAGAATGAATGTCGTGGCTATGACCTGCGACCCGACCCTAACATCCAGCAGTGGTTACAGGGGCTGCGGCCACTGACAGAGGCCCAGAGGTGACTTGCTGGTGAGGGTGGGACTTCAGGGCTCAGGCCGGGCACGCGGCTCACATGCCACATGCTGACCTCTGCCCATCGCCCCTCTCCCCAGCCATCGAGTGTCCTGTGAGGTGGAACCACCTGGTTCCGGTGACCCTCCTGCCCCTCGAATGCTTCGGCCTACGCTGGTCATCTCGCAGTGGACAGAGTGAGGGAGTCGTGGCTGGGGGGTAGTCTCTTGGGGACTTGCCTTCTTCCTCTGACCCTCCCAATCCCCTGCCACTCCAGGGTTCTTGGCTCTGTTGGGGGTCCCACCCCGCTTGTCTCCTGGGACCGGCCCAGTGTTGGAGATGAGGTGCCTGGAAACCCTGCTCCTCTGTTGACTCGCCTGGCCCAGGTGAGCTCTGCTCCTGACCTCTGACCTCTGACCTTAACACTGACCCCGACTCTTGTGAATGTTCCTTCCTTGACCCCCCCCGCCTCACAGCAGTGCCCATGTTGTTTGCCCTCAGCACATGAAGTGGCCGTCTGTGTCATCTCTGGACTCCGCCCTGGAAAGCTCTCTGTCCCTACACAGTCCGGCGGGCCCCAGCCACCTCTCCCCGCCAGCATCCTCTCCTAGGCCTTCTCGAGGTCACCGCCGTTCAGCTTCCTGTGGCTCCCCACTCAGTGGGGGTGCAGAAGGGGCCTCCAGGGGGCCTGCATCCGGGGGAGGGGGCTCTGGGCCAGGGGCTTCTGATTGTCGAATCATCCGAGTCCAGATGGAGCTGGGGGAAGATGGCAGTGTCTACAAGAGCATCTTGGTGAGGGGCCGGCTGGAGGTGGGGTGCGGGTGGTGCTTTGTGGGCTCATAGTCTTAGGCTTAAAGCCAAATGGGAAGGTGATTGCAGTTTTAATTCTGACCGCTCTATTGTAAAGCATTGCTAGGTGCGGCACCGGAACCTTTGGTGGCCTGTCAGATTTTTACAACAAGCAGCAGTTGTCCCCACAGGGAAGCAGCCCTGTGTCTGGCCACGCGAGTTGGCCTGTGGAGGACAGGGGGCCACCACACTGGGTTTCCCTGTTCGCTCTAAAGTACTGAGTGGCTGTGGTGGTTCCCAACCTTTTTTTTGGCCACGCCCCACCTAACCCTCTAAATCCTGATGCCCGCCCCCCCCCCTCCCCCCGTGACGTGGAATTCCTATTATTCAAAAAGCAAGCTGCAATTCACGTGGAGGAAGGCTAAAAGGCCATGAATTTGGTCTAAACAAGCTTCCAAACAACATGGCATCCATGCAAGAGAAAAAAGAACGAAGGACAGCTGAAGTACTGAGGAAGAAATCACTAAGAAATGGTTAAAAAATAATATGAAGTGATATGAAAAAATGGCAGTTTCAAATAATCTAATAGAGAACTAAAATGCATAAATGTCACTATATACTGTATATGAGGCTCCTAGAACCATAAGAAATGCAAAAAGTCACTGTCAGTAACTCATTCTCGAATTGTCCCCTCTGGGGCGTGTGCCCCACATTGGGAACCACTGGTTAGAACACTGGTCACTGCACCAAAGGGTCAAGGGTTCGATTTCTGTTCAAGGGCACATACCTGGGTTGCAGATTCAATCCCCAGCCCCAGTTTTGGGGTGTGTGCAGGAGGCAACTCATCCATGTGTCTCGCATCGATGTCTCTCTCCCCGCTTCCACTCTCTCAAAAATATTTATATATTGGACACGGGTAACCTTTTTTGGTTGGGGGATCAGTGGCTGGGGTTGGAAGGATGGGAAGCAGAGGTCATTCTGGCCAGTTTATTGCTTTTGGTTTTCTGTCCTGCCAGGTGACAAGCCAGGACAAGGCTCCGAGTATCATCAGTCGTGTCCTTAAGAAAAACAACCGTGACTCCGCAGTGGCTTCGGAGTATGAGCTGGTGCAGCTGCTACCAGGGGAGCGAGGTCAGAGACGTGAGGGGAGGTGGTGCCAGGCGGTTATTGGGCAACAAGTTTGAGCTTGACACCTCCTCTCTGAACCCACAGAGCTGTCCATCCCACCCTCCGCCAACGTCTTCTACGCTATGGACAGAGCTTCACACGATTTCCTCCTGCGGCAGCGGCGAAGGTCCTCCACTGCCACGCCTGGCCTTGCCAGCGGCCCCTCTGCCTCAGGAACGCCCCCAAGTGAGGGAGGAGGGGGGTCCTTTCCCAGGATCAAGGCCACAGGACGCAAGATAGCCCGGGCACTGTTCTGAGGAGGAAGCTCTCGGCTCACGGACTCCTGGAGACCACTCCAGATGTGGTAGCCATGCTGAACGGTGATGTTACATTGCATTGGGAAGAACCCAGAAAGGTGGCGACTACCCTGGGGCAGTGAAGTGCCACTGGTTTGTCAGACAGACCCGCCCTGTGGGAACTGGTAATGAAGTTGGATGCCGTGTATAACCCCCTTTTCCATGAACAGAGCACATGGCCATGCCACAGCATGCCAAGGGCCAAGGGAAGGCCTACAGGGGGAGAAGACAGACCTAGAGGCCCTGAGTCCCAGGAAGAGAGGATGGCAAGAAGTAGTTCCTGTTCTGGGGATTCCCGTCACTGTGACAACACTAAAATAAACCAAAACACTACCTGAATTCTCCTCCCCTGTCCTGCCAGTGTATGAACCAGCTGCTGGGAGTGCGGGCGGGGAGCCGGTTGGAATTTAGATTCCATGGAACATTTCCTATCCCAATGAAGACCTGAAAGTGGAGTCTTGCCCCAAAACCATGTCCTCAGAATTCTGGTTTATTCCTCCCTAGCGACCTCTCCATCCCTGGTCCCTTTATTTGCTCTTAAAGTTTCTCCTTAGTTGTCATAGAATTCACATGTGTCAAACACAAGGCCCTCGGGCCAAATCCGTCCCGCCAGGCCTTGCAATGTGGCCCGCACCGCGCTGTCATCACTGCACTCCGCTGCGTTTCCATCACAATGACAGTTTATGACTGTTCAGTAAACCATTCGGCCCGTGATTTAGGCTGGATTTTAGATTTTGGCCCCTTCTCTGATTGAGTTCGACACCCCTATCATAGATCCATGTCAAGTACTAGCCACCCTGTTAAAGCGATCAGAATGAACTCCCCTGGCTGCAAATTTGTAAGAAACATTTTAGGACAAAAGACATGAAGAACTTTGTGGGCAGTGTACAAACTTGGGAGGCCTTACAACCTCACAAAGTATGTGCTAGGATTTAAATCAGTCCAAGCTACATTCAAACAAATTCTAGAAGACTAAAAACTAAGATGCTGAGGCTATTTGAGAGGATAAGAAATCCTAGTACTGAGGGGTCTCAGAGGAGAGGACTGAGTTAAACTCAGCTTCCATTTCCTAAAGGGGCATGCCAACCAAGCTAAGTGTTTTATGTATCGATGAGGCTTGAGATATTTTAGTCTCAAAAAATGATGGATGACTCACAAAGACTGCAGTTGCAAGAATTTGGACTTGATTTAACAGGTGGTGTACATCCATTAGGTGGAAGGGCTGGGATAATGGATGAAGACAATTGTGACAGAAGTGGCTGGTCAAACAGCCAGGTGTTTTCACATTTTATTAGCTACAGTATAGACCCTAGAGCTGCCTGGGTTCCCCCTCCTCCCCGCCCCCCCGCCCCCCCCACAGGGTCAGGCCTTGCCAGAAGGCCCTGCCTTTGCCGCCTGGGCCCGCTGGAACTCCTGCTGCAGCTGAGCAAGGGTCTCCCTCTGTTGCTCTGACTGCTGCTCGAGGTCCCGGAGCTGGGATTCGTATCGCTTACTGAGAAGAGGCAAGAGAGACAAGCAAATAAGTTAGGGAGACTTACTGAGGATGCTGAAGGAAGAAAGATCAGTGGACAACTTGAGATCTAGGGCAGGGAGGGGGAGAGGTTAAAGGGGAAGGGGCTGGAGGAAGTGGACGATGGGGCTGCTCTCCTATGGTGTCAGGTGCATCAGAGTGGGGGACAAAGACTCACATTTCAGCTGTGATATAGTCCAGTCTCTTCCCTACTGTGGCCCGAGCCTCCCCCAGCTCCTGTTTGACCAGCACGGGACCCAGAAGTTTAAAGACCACGTTGGACCCATCCAGCAAGGCCAGTTCCTGGTGGAGGCGTGGGGCACGTAAAGTCAGAATCCTTGCCAGTACAGCCCCTCCCTCCTGGCCCCACAAACCCCAATCTCACCTCCTTCACGATGTTATTTTCTGTTAGTTGTGCTTCAAGCTTCTGCCGCCCAGACATGGATTTACTCAAGTCTGGGGGTGGGGGTGGGGTGGCAGGAAAGACTTTATTAGAGAAAACACAAGTGCTACCAGACCCCACAATCCTAGTCAGGAGATGGAGGTGGGGAGGCAGCCAAGGATGGGGCGGCGGGTCCGGGGTGGGGAAAAACATGACCTTAGCATGGCTTTGGGTTCGGAGTGAGTGCAGGGATGGGGGAAGCTGCGCCGACCCTCCCCTTACCCTTCTGCAGCTGCTGGTATTTCTCCACTTCTCCCTGTAGCTTCTTCTGGATCAGCTCAGCCATGGCGGCGGCGAGCCTGCGGGAGGGGGGCGCGGGGTCTCACTCTGGAAGGCTCCGAGCTCCCGGTAATGGTCTGGCTTCCGGAGGTGACAGCACTCTTGGGCGGCGGCCTCTCGGGGCACAGCAGCTCCTCCCGTTCGTATCCGCACGGCCCAGGCCGCAGGGGGTGGCAGTTGAAACGAGACCCCAAACCGAAACCCTGCCTCCCTCGTTCTCTCTTCAGTGATTATAAACCCGGAAGTAAACAAAGAATGCTGGGAATGCTACCGTATGATGCATGCCGGGAATTGTAGTTCAGACGTGTTTAATAAGCGGCGTTCTGCTAAAGATACAAATTTTAAAGATTCCAGGAAAGATGGGGAAACGAAGATGGAAAAATCAACCGCACCGTTTCTTAGGACCTGATCCCTTGCCTTTCTTTCGTTACTCGCGCATAAGCTGCCACTCGGAGGAGCGGGACCAAGGTCCGCCTGGCCCCTTAAGGGAGAGCCGCCCTCATTCAAGATGGCGACTTTAGGCGTCACACCTGGTACGGCGCTGATTGGATGAGGGCTGGAGGACTTCCGGGAGATACCTGTGAGACTGTGGGACAGCTGGAGGCGCTGGCACGTGGGCCGTCCTTAGGGTGGCAGGATGGAGACTGCCCCCAAGCCGGGCAGGGATATCCCTCCGAAGAAAAATAAACTTCAGAACAAGAAAAAGGTAGAGATCTTCCTGGGGCAGAAGGAAGCTTTTCAACCCCGGGATCGGAGGGGCGGGGCAGGGGCGGCGGAGGATCAGGGCTTCTGATCTGCGGGTGGAAACCGCCACGAGCCCAGCGGGCCTGATTCAGTGCTTGGGCATTGACCTATGAATCATGACATATGGACCAGGAGGTCATGATTCAATTCCCTGTCCGGGCACATGCTCCGGTAGTAGGCTTCATCCCCAGTGCGGGGTGTGCGGGAGGCAGCCGTCAATGATTGTCTCATCCTTAGTGTTTCTCTCCCTTCCTCTCTGAAATAATTGTATTTCTTTTATGTTTATAAAAGAGACCGCAGCGATACTGGGAGGAAGAGATCACTCCGACCACTGCTACAGCTTCTGCAGAGCCCCCTCCTAACAAGAAGAGGAACGGAGAGCCCCGCCCCCAGAAGCCAAAGAACACTCACACCCCAAAGAAGTCTCGCATCTCCAAGAAGCCCCAGTTCTTAAAGAAACCCCGAGGACAGAGGAATGCGGAGCCTCCGCGGAGCGTGTCGGGGGTGAGCATGGGGCCTGATAGGGTAGCGGGGCAAGGTGCCTTGTGCTTTGAGGATGCGAAGGTTGGGTTCCATCCCAGCCTGTCAGCGAATTGCCTCCTCCCTGCCCCAGGCCCAGGACCCATTCCCAGGCCCCGCCCCAGTCTCTGTGGAGGTTGCTCAGAAGTTCCGTCGCATTGACAAATCCAAAAAGGTGAGGACCAGTCTGAGGGGGTGGCAGGCAGGGAGTGTCTGGATGAGATGGACGGAGACGGGACCAGGTGGCTCTTTTGTGACCTCACATAGTGTCTTTTCTCCCCCCATATCTTCCCTACCAACAATGTGGTAGCTGCCACATTCTAAGTCCAAAACCCGAAGCCGGCTTGAGGTGGCTGAAGCTGAGGAAGAGGAAATAAGTGTCAAAGCTGCTCGTTCTGAGCTGCTGCTTGCCGAGGAACCTGGGTGAGTGGCCCTGATCTGGCCCCCAGCCCCTGCTTTATGGGCTGTCCTTTCCCGTGCACTTACTTCACATTAGGAAGCTCTTCTGCAGCTCCAACACTCCCTTGCAGGTTTCTGGAAGGGGAGGAGGGGGAGGACACAGCCAAAATTCGCCAGGCGGACATCGTGGAGGCTGTGGACATTGCCAGTGCAGCCAAGGTGAGCCTGGGGAGGGGACCGGGCCAGGCAAGACGAAGTGGGGACTAGAAGGGGGAATTACTGAAGTGAGCCATTTAGTTCTTGATCCTTTTTTCAACTCTTCCTTTTCCCAGCACTTTGACTTGAACTTGCGACAGTTTGGACCCTACAGGCTGAATTACTCTCAGACTGGGAGGTAAGGCTGAATTCTAGTGACTCTGGAATTGGAATGAGGGCATGTCTCCTTAACCATGTCAGCCAGGCCCTCCTCAGCCATGCCTGTGTATGTTTGGTTGTTGTGGTATGTGTCCTGTGATTTGCTTGCATGTGAGGGTGAACACGTATGACATCTCTCCTCTCACCTGGGACGAAGGGGCTGGCATGAAGACTTCCACTGTCTGAGGGAGCTCCGGCATTGGCACCCTGCTTTTTCCCCACCTCCAACAGACACTTGGCTTTCGGAGGGCGCCGGGGTCACGTGGCTGCCCTTGACTGGGTGACAAAGAAGCTCATGTGTGAGATCAACGTCATGGAGGCAGTGCGGGACATCCGGTCAGTGCCTGTCCGTCCGGGGTCAGTGGTGAGACAGCCCTTCTTGATTGAATGACGCTGTGACCCCTTACCCTCTGCCCTCTCCTCCCAGGTTCCTGCATTCGGAGGCACTGCTTGCTGTCGCTCAGAACCGCTGGCTTCACATCTATGACAACCAGGGAATTGAACTCCACTGCATCCGCCGCTGCGACCGCGTCACACGGCTTGAGTTCCTGCCTTTCCACTTCCTCCTGGCCACATCTGTGAGTGGCCGTCAGCACAGGGCCTGGGTGGGACCCTGAGAAGACCATGCCTCCTCTGGCACCCCAGGAGAGGGAGGACAGCGCAGTCAGGACTCATTTCTCTCTCACAGTCAGAGACTGGCTTTCTGACCTACCTGGACGTGTCTGTGGGGAAGATTGTGGCGGCTCTGAATGCCCGGGCTGGACGACTGGACGTCATGACACAGAACCCTTACAATGCCGTCATCCACCTCGGACACAGCAATGGTTGGTCCCTGGCTGAGGTTTGACTCTGACCATACTACCCTGCTTTCCTTCTATGTTTGTGCTTCACAGTCCTTAAAGTTGCTTTTTACCTTCCTCTCTGGGCTCCCCTTGGCCTAGAGTCCCCATCTTCTCCAAGTTTAATCCCCTCGGTGCCCACTTTGGCTCTTCTCTGACCGCCAGGCACTGTGTCCTTATGGAGTCCAGCCATGAAGGAGCCGCTGGCGAAGATTCTCTGTCACCGCGGGGGGGTCCGGGCTGTGGCAGTAGATTCTACAGGCACGTAAGTCACTTGTTGGGGCATGAGGTGCTGGTGGTCACGGCGGGATAGGAAGGTGTGGAAGGCTGTGTCTTTAAGAGAACAGACTCTGCCTGGGTGTGAATCCTGGTGCCACCACTGATCAGCCATGTGAGTGTGGGCATATTACGTAACTCTGTGAGCCACACTTTCCTCACCCTGAGAGTGGGGGCATGAGTGTCTAGCTCAAGAGTCAGCAAAATTTTTCTATAAAGAGCCTGGTAGGCCGGCTTGGCATTGCTCAGTGATTGAGCATCAACCTATGAAGCAGGACGTCACGGTTTGATTCCTGGTCAGGGCTCCTGGTATTGGGCTCCATCCCCAGTGGGGGGCGGGAGTGGGGAGAAGACCGGCGGTAGCCAATCGATGATTCTCATCATAGAGATTTCTCTTTTCTCTCTGAAATCAATATTTCAAAGCCTAAAACATTTACTATCTGGCTTTTATATATGTATAAAATATATATCTATACATATATAAAAGCCAGATAGTAAATGTTTTAGGCTTTGCTGGCCAAGAGGCAAAATCGAGGGTATTATGTAGATATTTGAATAATAAAAAGGAAAAAAACAGTATCAGAAATTTTTTTTAAAATATATTTTATTGATTTTTTACAGAGAGGAAGAGAGAGGGATAGTGAGTTAGAAACATCGATGAGAGAGAATCATCGATCAGCTGCCTCTTGCACACCTCCCACAGGGGATGTGCCTGCAACCAAGGTACATGCCCTTGGCAGAATCGAACCTGGGACCATTCAGTCTGCAGTCCGACGCTCTATCCACTGAGCCAAACCGGTTTCGGCACTATCACAAATTTTTAAACAATGAAATTCAAAATGTAATAATTGAATGCAATATTTTTCAGATTCAGGTCTACTAATGGGAAGAATTAGATTCCTCTTTTTGAAGATATATTGCTTAATTGATATTCAGAGTTGGTGTTGAAAGTCATCAGACTCCACAGCAAATATGATCTGTGAATCTGATCTGAGAGATTTTACATATTTTATCCTTGACAATGTGTTGCACGCAGGCAGGTGAAGAGGCAGGTGGCGGGGAGGTGCTCGGAGTGCTGTCAGGCTATGACCGTGCGGCTGCGACTCCAGCAGCAGCTGGAAGTGATCCCATGTCAGTGTCTGTCTTGACCACTCTGCTGTGCTAATGTAGCTCAAAAGCAGTAGAGTGAACGTGGTTGTGTTCCAATAAGACCATTTGTGGACACAATTTCATATGATTTTCTCGTCTTGAAATATTCTTTTTTTAAAAAATATATTTTACTAGAGGCCTGGTGCACAAATTTGTGCACAGGTGGGGTCCAGCCGACCTGCCCTCATCGGGCCGGGCCGGCTGTGGGGAGGGGCCACAAACAGTTGGCTGGCCTGCCCCACCCCCAATTAGGGTGGGGGGCCCCAATCAGGAGTGGGGTCAGCCAGGAGGAGGGACAGCAAATGGTTGGCCAGCTGGCCCCACCCCCTGGTCGAATTCCCAGTCAGATTCCCAGTCAAGGAGACAATTTACATATTGGCCTTTTATTATATAGGATTGATTTTTTACAGAGAAGAATGAAGAGGGATAGAGAGTTAGAAACATCCATGAGAGAGAAACATCGATCAGCTGCCTCCTGCACACACCACACTGGGAATGTGTACACAATGTGTACATGCCCTTGACCTGAATTGAACCCGGGACCCTTCAGTCCACAGGCCAATGCTCTATCCACTGAGCCAAACCGGTTAGGGCCTTTTATTTGTTTGTTTGTTTATTTATTTACTTATTTTAGTACATTTTGATTGATTTCAGAGAGGAAGGAGGAAGGGAGAGAGAGAGAGAGAAAAACATCATTGATGAGGGAGACCCATTAATCAGTGCCCCACACCAGGATTGTGCCCACAACCCAGGCATGTGCCCTGACCAGGAATCAAACAGTGACCTTAGTTCATAGGTCAATGCTCAGCCATTCAGCCACACTAGCTGAGCTTGAAATATCTATTTGATTTTTTTTTCCCCCCAACCACTTAACATAAAAATCATTCTCAGCTGTAGGTGGTGGGCCGGATTTGTTTGGCCATAGTTTGCCAGTCCTGGGCTGAGCTCAGGAAGCTGTTATAGACGGTGGATCTCTCCCCCTCACCCCGCCCTCCCCTACCTTCCGTCTGAGGTTTGAGTGGGGGGGTGGGAGGGGCAATGGGAGATAAGGGCACATATGTGATACATTAAAAGAAATTAAAAATAAATAAAGCATGTAATCAGCAACAACAACAAAAAGCTGTTGTGGACGTTAGTAAGCGAGTTCAGACACAGAGCTCAGCCTGAGCCAGGGAGCAGGCAGCGCTCCTGCATCATCGCCGTCAGTAAGCACCGTTCCCTTCGGGCCTGGCTGGCGTGAGGGCAGGGAGGTGGGTGTGCTTGGAATTTCTGTGCTTTCTGAGAGTATTTGCATTTCACAGCTGTTCTGTCTGGTGTGTGTGTGTGTGTGTGTGTGTGTGGATCTGGCGGAGAGGTAGGTTTTCGCCCAGATTCCTGGGTTTCCTTCATCGGGCCTTCGCTGGGCTCTGTGCTAAGGTTCCGGGGCATAAAGATGACCGGGCCATTGAGCCTGCCTGCTCAGTGACAGTTCCTTCACAACACAGGTGGCAGTAGTTTTCAGGCCAGGAGGGGCATCTAGGTGCTACTCAGTTGTCTCTGTCACCCCAGACTTGATGTGTCCATCACTGGATCGGACACCCAACTCCCAGGCTCCTCCTTGCCTGCTCCTTTTCTGCCACATTTTCCTGTCGCACACAATTTGGCTTCGTGGACACCAGTATTCCTTGGCCACCGGAGGAGCAGAGCTCAGAAGCACTGCTTGCGGAGCGCTGTCTGGGTGCCCAGGCTCTGCTGTTCATGAGCCCCGTGAGGTCCTGCCTGCCTGTCCCTCACAGGTCCCTGCACGTCTGTTTCTCGGTCCCGCTGTCTCAGTGCCGTGCTCAGAGCTCTCACCCGCTCCCAGCTTCAAGCCTTCCTCCTGCCTTGCTCCCCGGGAGTCATCAGAACAACCTTCCCCACAAGCCGCTTTCCCTTTTACCCGCTGCTCAAGATCCCTCTACGTTGCCCTAACCGGTTTGGCTCAGTGCATAGAGCGTCGGCCTGCAGAGTGAAAGGTCCCAGGTTGGATTCCGGTCAAGGGCATGTGCCTTGGTTGCGGGCACATCCCGAGTGGCAGGTGTTCAGGAGGCAGCAGATCCATGTTTCTTTCATTGATGTTTCTGACTCTATCCCTCTCTCTTCCTCTCTGTAAAAAAGCAATAATACATATATTATAATATATATATATATTTTTTAAAAGAACCCTCTACGTTAAATAGAAACTGTGTAACTTTACTTTTAAGTTGTTTGAAAGGAAATCAGGAAAAGGGGAAGTGAAGCAGACCCACCTTATGAAAGTCTGCAGTGGCTCGGACCCTCAGACTCCCAGAGTTGTATCTTCGGTGCCACGTGAGTTGGTTCTGCCTCTTTGGCCCCATAGCTGGGCCAGCCTGGCCGGTCCGGGCTTGCTGCCTTCTTCGTTCGCCTTCCGGGGCTGCCTGGGTCAGGTGCTCCTCTTCTGGGGCTTACTGAGCTGCTCTCAGCTTTGCTCAGCACAGTGCTGGATGGCTCGGGTCTCTGACCGCAGGTCCAGCCCAGGTCCTCCGCTGGGGCTCAGGGGCTCCAGAGATGGAATCGGATTCCAATTGGGATTGGATTCTTCAAGCTGGGCTGTTTACCACGCTGAGTCACATGGTAGCTGGCCGGCATGCCCACCTGGTATTTGCATGTTCGCAGCGGTGGGGGGGGGGTCAGGATGTGCCCGGAGTTGGTGCTGATGGGTATGGCCCCGTGCCAGGAGCGTTTGGTGGAGCTGGGCCCTGATGCTCTTGTCAGAGTATCCAGCAGGGCCCTTTGCCCTGAGGAACTCCTCGTCCCCTCCTGGGCTCACAGCCACAGCGAGAGCGCATCGTGGCCCTTTAAAAACGTGCTCTCCTGGCCAGCCTCCCCGCTGAGGAGCAGCCTGAACACACACACAGGCAGAAAGGCAGCCGGGAACATAAGGAGCCGTGCAGTGCGTTTCCCTGAGAGATCTGGTCTGGGAAGGGGGAGCCGGGCCCTCTAGCACGTGGCTGCAGACTGGCTAAGCTTTCCTCAGGCCCATGTCTTCCGTGGTGGCTTGCGATGGCCAGAGGGCAGGGCTGGGGCATTGGGGGTCTGACTTGACGGAGCCCCTGCAACTTGTACCCTGCTGACCCTCCTGGCCTGTTTCCTGCCAGACCTGGACACACCCCCTCCTGCTCCTCATTCGTGCCTGCTGTGTCTGCTCCTGCGTTCTGGAGAACTGTGGGAACGGCTCCCCAGGGAGGCCACCGCCCGGAGTGGGCTTCCCCTCTGCGTGTGTGCAGGGGGGCGCGATCCAGGGGCACGTCATGGGCACTCCCTTTGGTTCACGTCCTGAGTAGGTGGGACAGAGGCTAAAGAAATAGGCCTGCTTTGGATGCTCATCTACCTCGCTCTGCTTTCCTTTCTCTGAACTGGCTCCTCATTTGTAAAGGGGAGTACAGCTTAGTAGAGTTGTGTGCTTTATGACCACAAGGCCATTTGCAGTGTTCGCTGTGATGGCTGTTACCATCAGTCTTTTCTCCCCCAACCAAACTTGATGCCTGGACTCGACCACAGGCCTGCTCCGTGACCCCTTACTACAAAGTAACTGTCCTCCCTACTCCCCCAGGTGCATGGCCACCTCTGGCCTGGACCACCAGCTGAAGATCTTTGACTTGCGAGGGAAGTTCCAGCCTCTGAGTGCGCGGACCCTGCCCCAGGGAGCAGGGCACCTGGCCTTCTCCCAGCGGGGACTGCTGGCCGCAGGAATGGGTGATGTGGTCAACATATGGGCAGGGCAGGGCAAGGCCAGCCCTCCCTCCCTGGAGAAGCCCTATCTCACCCACCGCCTCTCAGGCCACGTGCATGGCCTTCAGTTCTGCCCCTTTGAAGACGTGCTGGGGGTGGGGCACAGTGGGGGCATCACCAGCATGCTGGTCCCTGGTAAGTGGGCCACGGCGTGGGCCGAGGTAGCTGGGAGCCAGGGGCCTGGCCAGGCTGGATTCCGTTTATGGCTCCACGCTCTTCCCTCCCCCAGGGGCTGCTGAGCCCAACTTCGACGGCCTGGAGAGCAATCCGTACAGGAGCCGGAAGCAGAGGCAGGAGTGGGAGGTGAAGGCCCTGCTGGAGAAGGTGAGGACGTGGGGACTGGCACGGGGTTGAGGAAAGCGCTCATACTGGGGGTCTCGGAGAGTTGGATTCAGCGACCAGCCTGGCTTTTGTCCCCCTTTGGGGTCACCCTCCTCACCCATTCCTGTCCCTCTCTGACGCCTCCAGGTTCCTGCAGAGCTCATTTGTCTGGACCCCCGAGCCCTGGCAGAGGTGGATGTCGTCTCTTTGGAGCAGGCGAAGAAGGAACGGATAGAGAGGCTGGTAGGGAGCCGACCCGAGTCCCAGGCACAACCTCACCCCCCACATCCCAGCAGTGTGGTACGGCAGTGGTGCTGCCACAGGCCCCTGCCTCTGAGGCTGCTACAGCCTTCACTCCTGTCCCCTTCCCCAGGGCTACGACCCAGAGTCCAAGGCTCCCTTCCAGCCAAAGCCAAAGCTGAAGGGCCGAAGCTCGACAGCAAGCCTGGTGAAGAGGAAGCGGAAGGTCATGGACGAGGAACACCGGGTAAAGGAGCATTTGGGGGTGGGCCAGGCCTCCCACAGGCTGTACCCTCCTCTGCTGGTGCCTCTGTCCTCGCCAGCCTGCCACTTCTCACTTTGCCCCCTATCTTCCCAGGACAAAGTCCGGCAGAGCCTTGAGCAGCAGCCACAGAAGCAAGAGAAGGCAGCCAAGCCCGTGGGGGCCCGGCCGTCTGCCCTGGACAGATTTGTGCGCTGAGCCAGGCTCCAGGATGGCCTGGGGACAACACTCTCTCCCCAAGATCACCTTTGGGGGAATTCCTGTCCCTGGAATGAGGCGGGGAGGTGCCCCTTCCCCAACTGGGACTAGACTGCTGGCTCCCGGGTGTGTGTGTGTGGTTAGGCATTAAAGAAGAAAGTGAAGCTTTTGGATGATGTGTCTGGATCATCCTGTTCTTGTCCCCTTCCTTTGCCCAGCATGGGGCTGCTCTAGGCTCCAGTGGTCACGTGTCCCGCCACTACCCCCACCCCAGATCTTGTGGTGGCTGTGGCCTTGTCTTTGCCCGTTAGGGGCCTGTCTCCTCAGAGAGGCCGTGTGCTCTCTCCCGAGTCCCTGGAGATGTGCTTCCCATCCAGCAGGGGTTGGCAGGGCCCAGGCTCCCGGGCTTGTGTGCGGGGACCCTGACGGGGACCACACTGCATTCTACAAGTAGAGAGACCAATTTATTGAGGGCTCTTGCCCTCTGCTGCCGTGGGGGCTTACCGCAGCACTGTTTACTCCCCTGAGGAGCATCTTCGGAGCTGGCAGGCCAGACCCTAGTTTTCCCCTAAATCCTCAGGCTTCAGTGACAGAGAGCACTTGTGTAAGGAAGCTGCCCAGTTGCAGCCAGATGCCTTGGGCTGGGAGGAAGGTGGGGGAGCTGGCTGCACCCTCAGCTCCTCCCTCCTCTCCAATGGCCCGGGTCCGCTCAGGCTGTGAAGCTATGAAACCAGGCTATTACCCGACACCGCAGGATGCCCAGGACCCCCTGGAGCCAGGAGCAGAAGGGCGCAGTCCTTTCCCCATCGGAGCCCCCCACCAGCTTCCAGGCTTCCTGCATCTTCCAGGGGTCCACCTTGTGGGACGTCAGCAGGAATTTCCCATAGCAGCACCGGTCCAAGGGATAGTGGGTGGCACCAGCCAGTTTGACACAGGAGGTTGGGGTGAGGCCTCCTCGTCGGGCACTTATCCCCACAAAGACATCTTCCAGGGGCAGAAAATGTGCCCCGCTGGCCACTTTGAGGATGAGCTGCACAGCGGAAGCTGACAACACATACCCTGTGCCGGAGGCGTAGGGTGGGAAAGGGCCCCAGCTGGCAGGCCACTGCTCCTCTGATAGCTGGTGCTTGCTCCCTGGAGTCCGAATGGGGTACACCCGCCAGTGCACGCGGCCCAGGTACAGTGGAGGCGTGGGCTGCCGCACCGGCGAGGGGCTGCCTCCTTTCCACCCTGCGTCTCCGGCCTCAGCCCCTCTCCGGGGTTCCGTGCCCCTCTCTCGTTGCTCCCCATGGCCCCCTCGCCGGACCAGCTCTGATACCAGTTCTGGAACGTTGACAAACACATCGTCGTCCGTCTTGAGGACGTAGCGGGCCATGGGGCAGTGCTTGTCCGCCCAGCTCAGCCCGCTGAGCGTCTTGAGGGTCAGGTTGCGGTAGGAGTCCCGGAAGGCCGCCTGCACGATGTCCCCCTGGGCCGCTGACTCGCGTTCCAGGTCGTCCCCACGGGAGCCGGGATGCCGCCCGCCCGGCTCTCCCAGGAGGAAGAGCGTCTGCACCCTGAGCCCGCGGGCCTCGCGCTGCCCGCCCCACGAGGCCCGAATGGCGTTCCTTTGGTTGAGGTTCTGGGGGGCCGAGGTCACCAGGATGAGCAGGAAGGGGGGGCCGCCGGGGCCGCCGCAGGCGCCCTCGTTGGCGATCAGGAGGCGCGGCAGGGCCAGGGGCGGCCCCGGCGAGGCCGGAGCAGGGAGCAGGGACGCCAGCGAGAGGCTCAGCAGCTCCTCCCCGAGGCCCGCGGGCCCCAGGAGGGCCCAGACCATCAGCAGCAGCAGGCCGGCGAGGAGGAGGCGCTGGAAGAGGCTGAGGGGCATGGCCGCCGTCACAGGGAGCCTGGAGGGAGACAGAGGGCGGTTGGAGGGCGGGGAGCCGGCTCCCGGAGCCGAAGTCCCTCAGCGACCGCGCCAAGGGTGGGGCGCCCAGATGGCGGGCGGCACCTGCGCCGGAAGGTGGGGAGACACGGAAGGAGCGGAGACAGGGACACGGGAAGCTAACCAACCGCGCCTAGGATGGAGCGAGCGGGGATGGCGGGCGGCATCTGCACCGGAAGGTGCGGAGACACGGACACAGGAGGGCACACAGGAGGCTCGGGCGGGAGCTGCGGGGGTTACCTGGCCGCCGCCCCGCCACGCGGCTCAGCTCCTCGGCGCTCAGCTCCATGCCGGGGAAGGTGCCGCACCGGCCGCCCCCCGCGGGCGCCGAGCGCGGCCCCGCCTCTTGCCGGGAGGGCGGCCCGCGTTCCCAGAAACCCCCTGCAGCGCGGAGGGGGCCTTGGCCCGAAGTCATTGGACCAGCGTGTTGACGTAGATCTTCCTCCCCAACCACGTGGTACCTCCCGGTGCAGACCCGGTTTATCATCAAAGAAATTGCACCCGCCCGCAACTCTCCAACACCCAGCTCCCATCATAGAAGCCCAGAGTGGCCAAAACCTGCAAAAACTCACGGAGCAGCAAGACTAGGTCAATCTACCTGCACTCTCCACTCCAGCCCCGAGAAACTGGCTGGGCTCCCCCTACAGGTTATCCCCACTCCCTCATACCTTAGAAGGGTGGGAAGGGAGTGATACCATAGTTTAAACCAAGACAAAGGACACTGTTTGGGTAGCTAGGTGGGTACATCAGTGAAGAGACTTAGGAAAAGGACCAACAGGGTTCTCATGATAGCTAGCATTCCCTATCAATGTCCCCAGAAGAAGCAAGAAGAATCACAAGAGAAGCCAGAGGTGTATAAACTATTTATTAACAGACGAGGCCTACAGACTATTTCTTCTTGGACACACCCACAGTGCGACCCCGGCGGCCTGTGGTCTTGGTGTGCTGGCCTCGAACTCGAAGACTGCAGGTGAGAAAAGAAGGATCACAGGTCATACACATCACATAAGACATCTGGGAGAAGGCGGCCCGAAGGAAAGGAGACCTCCACCCAGACTCACCCCCAGAAGTGGCGCAGCCCTCTGTGGGCCCGAATTTTCTTCAGCCGCTCCAGGTCCTCACGAAGCTTGTTGTCCAGACCATTGGCCAGGACCTGGATTTGGAAGAGGGTAGGGATGCTTTTATTCCCATCTCCGTTGCCCTGCCTCTCTTTCCTCTCATCTCAATACACACCTGGCTGTATTTCCCGTCTTTGACATCCTTCTGTCTGTTCAAGAACCAGTCTGGAATCTTGTACTGGCGTGGGTTCTGCATAATGGTGATGACACGCTCCACCTGGCAGGCAGGACACAGGTCAGACCCCGATGGCACCATCCTGAGGCAGGCCCAGCCCGCAGGCCCCCTTGCGGGTCCTCACCTCATCCTCCGTGAGCTCTCCTGCCCTCTTGGTGAGGTCGATGTCTGCTTTCCTCAGCACCACGTGAGCATACCTTCGCCCTACACCCTGAGAAGTTTGGAAATTGGGCTGGAGTCATGTTTTGGTTTCCTTTATCCCACCCAATTGTTTTTTAAAAAAAAGGTAGGGCCTGCAACAATCTAGGGCTTGCCCACATAATCTACACCTTACCCACTTGTCCCAGTAAGCCTAAGGATCAAGTAGAAAAGAGTTAAGTAGTTTTGTTCAGGCGCAGGGCTGGGCCAGATAAGCTCTGGAAAGCACGTGCACCTCCTGATAAATGCCGGGCATCAGACGTGTTGGCAGAGCCTGGCTCCTGAAGCTGACACAGCTCCACAGAAGGCCTTTTGGTCAGCAGGCTTTATCATTGGACAGGGTTCAGCTCCTGCAGACTCTAAAGGCCTTTGGACCAGCCACTGCATAGTCATGATCAGATTTATGTATTAATTTTAGGGAGGAAGAGGGGGAGAAACATCCTTTTGTTATTGCATTTATTTATGCCTTTACAATTGATTCTTGTATATATCTTGATGGGGGATTGAACCCACATCCTTGGTGTGTTTGGGATACATTCTAATCAACTGAGCTACCTGGCCAGGGCCACCACTGTCAGTTTTTAAAGATCACAAACTTGATTCTGTCAGTGCTCTAAGTTGACCAGGCCCCAAGGAACTTACTGCCCAAATCAAACTTACTGGTGGCATCATGTAAACACCAACCAAACAGAACCAGACAGTGAAGAATGTGGCCTGGATTCAAGAGCGCCCCTCACCCAATGTATTTCCATCCAGACCTCAGAATGTTACCTTATTAGGAATCTCTGAAAATATGGTCAGATGAGGTTATACTAAATACATGTCTTAAGGAGAGGACAAGTAGACCAAGAGGGAAAGCCATGTGATAACTAAGTCAAGAAGCTGAAGTGATGTGGCTGCAAGACAAAGGAATAGTGAGGGTTGCTGGCGACTACCAGAGGGTAGAAGAGCAGATAGATATCTCGAGCCTACAGAGGGAGCATGCCCTGTGGACACCTTGATCTTGGCTATTTGGCCCGGTTTCTGTTGTTTTAAGCCAAGTCTGTGGTAACCTGTTACAACACAATAGCCCAAGGAGATGTTATTTACTTTCTGTAAGACCAAGTGACCTAGGGCCTGGCCAGTGTGGACGTGGAAGTTGGAGTGGTCCCACGCACCAAAGGGTCTCAATTCCGTTAGGGCACATGACCAGGTTGCAGGTTCCATCCCAAGTAGAGGTGTGAATGGGAGGCAACGGATTTCTCTCCCTCCCTTATAGAAAATAAACCCTAAGGCGAAGACTTAATAGATGCAGATAAAATAGTATATGTTTGAGATTTACTTTAAAATATGCACAGAAAGGGCAAAAATGAAACAAGATTTCTAGTTTTTAGCTAGACGATACAGTAAACACCTCAATTTTATGGACCCTGATTTAATAGACTTCAGATTGAATGGACAAAATTTCTAGTCAGTATATCATATGTGAAAAGGAACACCCTATTAATAACCAATATCAGCCTATAATTAAAGCAACAGGTTATTCAGTTACTTTTAACAAAATTTAGCAAATAGGCCATACAGTGGGGAAAACACTAGTAATTTCACCAACAAGCATTACATAGCTACAATTACAGTCCACACTGCTTGTAAACAATGTTCAGGGAATGATTAGCATGTAATCACACTGCATCATGATAACTAGTTCGATTGTCGTGTGACTTATGCAGCAGTTTAATATTTTTATTGGTTTTAGAGATAGAGGAAGGGAGAGAGAGAAATGGGGATGGCTACTTCCTGCCAGCCCCCTATTGGAGATCCAGCCCACACCTGGGCAGGTCACACCAGCCAGGACTCTTACTCTGGCCAGGCTGGATGTTCCGCAGCAGGTGCATGTTTACTCATGGTGACTGAACACACACTTACTAGACCTAGTAAAGCAAAAAACTTGTGAAATTAAAGTTTCATACCTAATTTTAATTACACAAACGTTCCTACATAAGTAAAGAGGTAAACCAGATCCACAGACGCCCCCCTTTCCATCCAGAAGACTACTCTGCAGGGAACCAAGTCATGTTTGCAGCCCAAGGGCCTGGACCACATTACAGAAGAGCTAATACTCTGGAAGTATTGAGAGAAGTTCGGCTCACGGGGACACTGGCATTTTGGCAGGACAAGTGTTCCTTATACTTCCCCGTCATTAGTAACCCTCAGGTGAGTTACCCCCGATTTAGAGGAAGACCAGAAGACCAGGCAGTCCTAAAGAACACCCATAGCAAAAATCTCCAAGTGGAAATAAAAACCTCCAGAAGTCACAGCAGAGAAATTGTGCAGGATCTTGGTTCTCTCAACACCTCTTCTTGGTATCTCATTCCATTCCGCACCCTTCCCGCAGTTAACTGTGATGACCATGTTAGAGGAACCTCTCCCTCCACTCACCCTGCCTTCCCCCGATCCCAGATCTGTAAAAAAGGACCAAGCTGTAGTTCTCTCACCAGAGGAAGAGCTAGCTGCCTTTGCTGGCTCTTCACAAAATTGTCAAAAACCTCACCTACAGCCAAAACCAGTTTGGCTCAGTGAATAGAGCATCGGCCTGCAGACTGAAGGGTCCCAAGTTCGATTGCGGTCAAGGGCATGTACCTTGGTTGCAGGCACATCCCCAGTAGGGGGTGTGCAAGAGCAGCTAATTGATGATTCTCTCTCATTGATATTTCTAACTCTCTATCCTCCTCTCTTCCTCTCTGTGAAAAAAAATCAATAAAATATACTTCACCTCACCTACAGAAATAACTTTCCCAATAATAAGCAGGGCATCAGGATCCCTAGAGACTTCATTCAGTACCTGAAACTGCTCCGGTATTGTTCTTTGTAAATATATTTTTGATTCCAGACAGAGGGAGAGTTAGAAACATTAACGATCAATTGGCTGCCTCCTGCACAACTCCTACTGGGGACCAAGCATGTGCCAACCTGGAACCAGCCCTTGCAACCAGGGAGCTAACACCGGCCTGGAGGTTGTTTTAAGTGGACAAGTCATAACACATATTTAACTAATAAATACAAAACCAACTCATTTTGAAGAGGCAGTTTAACAGAAGCACCCCATTAACCATGGTCACCCTTTACCATTTAATTTGTCTCATTACCACCTTTTGGAAAGGAACTTCTGTACTTTACACGGCCTTACTAGTTCCCCATAACAGAAGCAACCTTCTTACAAAGGATGCAAGTTGTGATCCCTGCAGTACAGAATTAAGAACCAAGGGAATTGGATGAACCCAGGATTTTTAGTTTTAAACATTTCCTTTAAAATTCTTTGAAATCAGACAAAACGTCCCTGATAGCATCGGCACCCTAACACTGCTTGAGCACCTATCACACACTAGCTGGGAACTGGGTGAGGTGGATGGAGACAGCTCCCAGCCTGGAGGGAGCACATCCTGGCGGGAAAAGAAGTCCTTCAGCCACCTCCAGGACTAACCACAAGTATTCCAGAGAACAAAAACAGAATGTCGCCTTTTGGCTCCAGGAGTTCATTCGTTTGGTGAAGAGATACCTGAGCTTGCTTTCACCAACTTACTTCACCCAAAGAACCAAGTACGGTTCCCTCTTCAACTGGAAAGAAAAATGACTTTCACCTCCAGAAATGTGAGACAATGTCCTGCTCATAATGGAACGACATCCCTCCCAACTATGTTCCTTCACATGGAGTCTGTTGGCATTTCTACCCACCCAAGATGCACAATTATCCCATTTATGGGGCACGTTAGGTGTCACAGGAAGGGTTGCTGTTAGGAGGCAGAAACCAGACACACAATGCCCTCAGGGCGATGGCTGAGGGTCCAGGAAAATCCCAGAGAATTCATGTAGACAAACCCACTCCCCACCCCCCAGGTGAAATGTTCTGGCTTGACCTGAGACCATTCTCTGGCTTTCTTACCTTTCCCGTAAATGCAGAGAGGGGTTCAGGGGGTGACCCAGCAGCTGAGGTCATCTGGTTGGGGCTTGTTTCCTCAACCTTGCCTCACTTACAGCTTAGGTCTCAACTACCTAAGTCTCATTTATGCTCTCCACTCCTTGCCCTCCTTTACCTTAATTGCAGTGATGGCAAAGGCTATTTTCCGCCGCCCATCGATATTGGTGTTGAGTACTCGCAAAATGTGCTGGAACTTCTCAGGAATCACTAGAGACTGACAGAGATTGGGGGAGAAAGCAGACACCGTGAACTGTCAAATCACAACCTCAGGCAGGAAAGTTAAACTCGTCACACAGGGAGCACCGGTCCCCCTGCAGGTTTTCACCAACTGCAAACTCCTTAGTCCTGCAGGCAGCAGGAACATGAAATGTTGGAGTTTGGGGCAATGCGACCTCTGGGAGAGGGCACATCGGGCACATCTCCTGCCTGTCCCCAAAGTACACTCGGAGTGCGGAGGCCAGAGGTCCCCCTATACGCCCCAGTCTTGCGCGGCTTTCGAGCGCCCGGGGAGCGACTCTTCCTCGCCCCACTCCCCAGAAACGGAAGTCTTTAGTCGTTCCTTCCCGGGGCGCGATCCAAAATTCCACACAGAACGTTGTAGGCCCCTAGAGCAGGGCGATTTCGGCTCCTTGAGAGCAGACCTTCCCTGCCCGGTTCGATGTCGCCGGATCCCCGGACGGACTCGAGTCTTACCATGGCGGCGGCGTGCAGGCCTCCTGTGGAAGAGAGAGCGGAAGTTACGTAATAGTCTTATATAGCGAACAGGCGGAAGGGGCGGGGTGATGTTGGTGTAGCTTCCGGAAACGGCATGTGCCGGCGTCCACTGGACTTCAGAGAGTCCGAATTAGTTGCTGCAACTTCCGGCGTGCCCTCTTTACTGCTCGTCAGGTTTTGGGGTGTGAGAGCCGCGAAGGTTCCGGGGGAGATGGCGCTAAGACTCCCCCTTCCCGCTTGTGCCCGGTGAAGTGGTTAGCGCGCAGAGGGAAGGCTGAGTGAAACATTTACCGCAAACACCCGGGACCGATCTCGCGCTGTGCAACGCCCTCTAGACGCGTAGTTCCACTCGGGAGGACGGACTCGCGCGACTGACAGCTGCCGGAAGTGAGGCTGCGCGAATGGCCGCCGCCGCCACCATGGCGGCCGCTGCCCGGGAGCTGGTGTTGCGGGCCGGGGCCTCAGACGTGGAGGAGGAGGAGGGCCCGCTGGTGAGAACGCAGGGCTTTTTCTCCTCCGGCGTCTCGTTCGGTCGTCCTCGCGTCTGAAAGACCCGGGCTGGGCTTAGTCAGGGCGGGAGCCCGGCGGCGGCCGGAGGTGCGCTCCGTAGCCCTCCCTGGGATCGGACCCGAGCTTGAGCAGGGACCAGAATGGTCGACTGCAATTCCGGGGCAGAATAGAGAAGCCGTGCTGTCTAAGGGTTAAGAACGTGGGGGCAGATTGTCTGCGTTTTAGTTCCAGCTCTGCTACTCACGCTGTGTGTCCTTGAACAAGTTAGCTACCTCTCTCCATCACTTTCTATACCCACAAAGGTGAAGGAAATTATAAGACATACTGTTACAGGCAAGATTCCAGCGCAGGAACCGGGGAAACTGAAGCAGAAAATTAGGACAAGGCCAAACAGTGTGAGTAATTTGCAACTGGCCTGCCAGTAACAAACCACTATCTTCCCCAGCCATGGACACTCCTAATGATGCAGAAAGCCCAGCGGAAATCCGGAAGGAAAAATGGCACTTTTACTCCTAAGCAGAGAAGCCAGCAGTGTCAGGGCTGGGCAAGATAAAGTTGCCAGGATTCTGGGAAGACCACAACAAGAAAACCTTCAGACTTAATCTGAATAACCAAGATATTCAGCAAAAGAATCTTTTGAAACCTACAGACAGGAGGGCATATTACTCTTCCAGCTTGCTCCAGACACTCGCTTTTCCGGATTCACCGGAAAAGCCCATCTGTGCTCCAAGCCAGATGAAATAGATTTGCTTGCTTCGCTTTCTCAATAAAGTTGCACGCTTTAATGAATTGGCTGTTCACAACGCAGTCAAGGTCTCTCGTATAAATTCATTAAGATGAGAAAACAGGGATCAAAGTTGGGGACAGCCCTCTCCCACTAGTTCAAGGGGCTCTCCTGTCTGGTGTCGGTGAGGGGCCTGTAACACTACAATATAGGTTGCTGGATAGATCAGTGAGTGTATTTAAGATGGCACCTGGCATGCAGGTAAACACTGTTAGCTGGCATTTCTAGAAAGACTGGAGCTCCCCAGAGGGATTGTGATAGAATACCTAAAATAGCAGAAGTCTGGGCTCCTAACTTCAACTGCAAGTTCTGCAACTCCTAATTTTTCCCATCCATTCTCTGTGGATGGCCTGGCTCCTTGTTCCCTGCCACCAGCCCCAAGTCATAGATTGGGTACAATGTGAGACTCTTGGAATTTTTCACAAGTACCTATGGCTGCCCCTTGAAGGATTAGGGATTATTCCATTATAGATAGATAGGTAGATAGATAGATTTTATATATATATATGTATATATATATAGAGAGAGAGAGAGAGAGAGATTTGTGTGTGTGTGTGTGTGTGTTTTGTTAATCCTCACCGAGGATATTTCTCCTTTGATTCTTAGAGTGTAAAGGGGTGAGAGACAGAAAACATCCGTATGAGCCCTAGCTTGTTTGGCTCAGTGCATAGAGCAGACTGAAGGGCCCCATGTTCGATTCTGGTCAAAAGCGCATGCCCAGGTTGCAGGCTCCATCCCCAGTAGGGGGCGTGCAGGAGGAACCAGTCAATGATTCTCTCTCATCATTGATGTTTCTATCTCTCCCTCTACATTTCTCTCTAAAATCAATAAAAATATATTTTATTTTTTTTACATTTTTTTATTAAATTATTATCTGTGTACATATTTCAACATTGCCCCCCCTCCCATACATACCCTCCCTCCCCAGAGTTTTGTGTCCATTGGTTGTACTTATATGCATGTATACAAGTCCTTCGGTTGATCTATTATCTCCCCCTAAAAATATATTTTAAAAAGAAAACATTGATAGGAGACAGAGACACATTGATTGGTTGCCTCCCACTTGTGCCCCAAGTGGGGCTGGGGATCGAGCCTGTAATTGAGATATGAGCTTTTTTTTTTTTTTTATATATATATTTTTATATACTTCAGAGAGAGGAAGGGAGAGAGAGAGAAATAAAAACATGCATGATGAGAGAATCATTGGTCCCCTGCCTCCTGCTCACCCACTGCTGAGTATCTAACCTGCGTCCCGGACTCGGAAGCAATCATGACCTCCTGGTTCATAGATGAGTGCTCACCACTGAGCTACACCAGCCGGTATGGAATTGACTGGAATTGAACCCAGGACCCTTCTTCAGTCCTCAGGCCGACCTCTATCCACTGAGCTAAACCCGTTAGGTTCCATTATATTTTGTTCCCTCTACCCCTGTATCCTTTCTCATGAACTTATTCCTGTCCAGGGGAGCGGTCCTGATCTGCAGGAGCCGTTGCAGCTCGGAGTGTTGGACCTCACCTCTGATGAGTTTATCCTGGATGAAGTGGATGGTAAGTGATGGCCCAGGGTGGGTGCAGAGTGCCTGTACTCTGAGAGGCAAGGGGGCTGGAAGTAACAAGGCGGGGACTAGTATGCAGATGTTCACTGTGGGGAGAGGGAGTTGTGAACTGAACCATTATAATGAACTTTTATTTCCAGTTCATATTCAGGCAAATCTGGAGGATGAGTTGGTAAAGGAAGCTCTTAAAACGGTGAGACTTTCTACTATACTAACCTGCCCTCCCCACACTTACCCTCCCCTTGAGCTTATATCCCGGTGTCTTACTCGCTAGTCCTGTGCCGATTCTGCTCAGTGGCCCTCACTGTGCCTCCTCTTGAACTGCAATGTCTGTTCTCCAGGGTGTGGATCTTCGTCACTACTCAAAGCAGGTTGAGCTGGAGCTACAACAGATTGAGCAGAAGTCCATTCGGGATTGTATCCTCCAGCAGAGGAAAGGGGGGTGTCATTAAAATAGGGGGGCGGTGTGGAGCATGGTGCAGACAACCTGGCTGGGGGTGACCTCTTCTCTCTCAGGGTTCTAGCACCTCAGAGAGAAACTGGAGAGGTCCTGCAGGTCTGAGGATCTCCATCCTCACCGAGTGGCCCCTTGACTTTCTGTGGGTCAGATATCCAAGAGAGTGAGAACATAGCATCACTACACAACCAGATCACGGCCTGCGATGCTGTCCTCGAGGTTAGTCACCATGACCTGGAACCCCTCAAACAACCTGGAACCAGACCATGGTCTTGAGTGCCATTCTCCTTCTCCTCCTTCTCTTCTCCTCCTTCTCCTCCTTCTTATTCTCATTCTTATTCTCATTCTTATTCTCATTCTTATTCTTATTCTTACTCTTAATTACTTTGTTAATCCTCACCCAACGATATTTTTCCATTGATTTTTAGAGAGAGTGGAAGGGAGAGGGAGAGACAGAGAGAAACATCAATGTGAGAGAGACACATTGATTGGTTGCCTCCTGCACGTACCCCGACCAGGGTGGGGGGACCTGCAACTAAGGCATGTGCTCTTGACCAGAATCAAACCAGGACCCTTCAGTCCACAGGCCAACGCTCTATCCTCTGAGCCAAACCAACCAGGGGGGTGTCATTCCTTAGGTCGTCAACCTCAGGTGGGGAGCAAGCCACTTGTAATATGACCTCAGTAGCCTTTTTTGTTGGTATTGCCATAACGGATGTTATTTGCCATTGACCTTTGGGGTACCTCTTCCCTCATCACCTGCTACCCTCATGGGTCGATTGGTACTGGAGACGTCACCAGTGAACTTGGGTGGCCCACTTGTCCCCTGCCAGCCCTGTGGTGCTCCAGCGGATCTTCTGCCTCTTTCCCAGCGCATGGAGCAGATGCTGGGAGCTTTTCAGAGTGACCTCAGCTCCATCAGCTCGGAGATCCGGACGCTGCAGGAGCAGTCAGGGGCCATGAACATTCGGCTTCGAAACCGCCAGGCAGTTCGAGGGAAACTTGGGGAGCTTGTCGATGGTCTGGTTGTGCCCACTGCTCTCGTCACGTGAGTTACTAGTTTGAAGGGCCACAGGGTTTATAGCAGG